CGTTTTCAAGTCGGTCACTCTGGGAAATTTTCATAATTAGCTATTAGTAATGGGAGAATAGCCTTATAATAAGTTTTATAAAAATTCAATTTTTTTCGAGTCTTTCAAGAACAGCCAACCGGCACTTGTTTAAACTATAATTAATACAATTTGCTTTTCTATCTATATAAATTATATTGCATTCGAGATTGCCACCACGCCCTCCATAAAATCATGCGATGTTCATCACCTCTTATTGTGCTCATTTAAATTTAAGAATGATGATATGATGATGACTTCAGCCTTTATAGCTGTTTTCCTACTTTTCCTAGAGCTTCGGCTTTTTTATTCGGCTTATTTGCTCTATTTTACTTAGTTCGGCTTGATTTAGTAGCTATTATGCTCTCAACCCTCTCAACTTAGGATAAAAGCATGGGCAGATCTCCAGTCTCGGCCCAAATTTCTCTTCTAATCGCAGATTTAACAAGGACTGAAGCCTTCTCAAATAGTTGCCAAGCGTCTTTCTCAATGATTTCTCTAAATTTCTCGAATATTAAAATTCCCAAATGAAAATCTTTTATAGTAGGTAAGCGTTGCGTTTGTATTTGCATGGCAAGCAAAAATGAAATTTAAAACTTTTCAAATATCAAATTTGTTGAAACGTTCATATTATTTCGATGTTTGCCATAAATCTAACAATTCATCACTCATCATTTTTTCATGAGGCCCTTCTTTTTTTTTTTATTTATCCCATTTTTATTTTTATAGAACGAATGAATATTTTATGTTTTTTTTCTGTTTTAATGTTCTTTACACTTTTCAAAACATTTACCTTCTTTTTTGATTGTTTAATTTTTCGATTATAAATATGTTCTGCCAGAAATTTTTTATAAATTTTAACATCCATCATGATTTATTTTGTCACATTCGCATAAATGGAAAACATTCGTCAAAAAGCCAAATTTTTTGAAATCACCTCGAATTTTCTGGCATATAACGAAGAGCCATTTCTCAGCAACATAGTTTTCACCTCCCCTCAACTGCGAGGCAAACATCAAATACCACTAATTAATTAGCAAAATGGGATCATTTTCGCCATAAAAGGAAACTTACCACAGTTGCGATTATTCAACTTCGGCGGCTCATTTTCTTCGTATTTGTAGTTTTATAGCTTATTATAGTTTCAAATTATTTCATCAGTAATTCTTCAGAACACAAATCAACAATCACATTTTAATATTATCTTTTTAAAGCCGCTTTTATCAGTGATTTATGTTTACGAAATATCTCTTATAATCGAAATTTTTGATCGTTCTTTAAAATATTATGAGAGAAGAGAAGAAACATGTTTTATGTGAAAGCCTAGCCGCCGAAGGAAATGGTGAGGGCTAACCACTTATTTACTTTTGTTTTTATTTAAATATTTCTTAATATCTAAATCTGCTGAGTTTGAAGCTCTCATTCTGTGTATAATCCATTATTGTAATCCAATATGGCCAATATGATGCATTATCTGTCACCAGTTTATCAGATTATCAGTATCTGCGATTTAAAAAGGGCGTTGCCGGTTATTCATCTGTGCTTTTCTGTCCAGTTGACTATATGGCAAAAAATTGTCGCATCCTACTATCAAATTTTTTTGCGAAATTGAACATTTATTTTTCATCCGACTTATTTTACCTGGAGACCATATCACCACCAGAGGACTCCTACATATATTTTTGACTATATGGCAAAAAAATTATCACATCTTAATAATTGCCAGTGTAACGAGTCTAACCAGAAAAGATCCTTAACTGCTGTTGCTGAATGATTATGAGGAATATTAATCAACTAAAAATAATGTCTATTATCTAATAATATCTATTAAAAATAAAAATTGAAAATTAAGCAATCTTTGAATAGTTTGGTAGATTTTTCACCATAGGGAATATTTTGATGAGGTTTGTAGGGTTTATGCATAAGCATAAATATTATTTGTTATCTTCCCAAAATTCATCAAATTTAAAAAGCAATTTTAGAGAAAGAAACTTTATTAATTTTGCAGAAAATGCAAACTGATTGGATTATCGGTAGTTTAAAGAATAAATTTAATAAATATTATATTCCTAAAATATTGAAACTATAAAAAAGATTTATTGCAATTATCAGCTAAACCAAATTTAAATAAGCAATAAAAGAATCCTTCGCATCCTTTTTGGACGATTTTGCCTTTAAGCTTTATAAATTTTGAATCGCAAGCGGAAAAAAATTTTCGATTTAAAAATTATGATATCGTTAAAATCGCCCAAATTATGAAATAATGAATAATGAAATAATTGCTGATGGAAGTGTAATTTAATTAATTAATAAACGTACCAAATAATTTCTGGTTTTCGATTGAAAACTGGAATAACAAATTGCTATTCAATCAGTTATCAAAGTATTTCTTTGCTATGGGTCCCGACATTGTCGCAATTAGTACCAAAGTAAAATTATTATCAAAAGTCGCCCCATGCTTCGGAAACGACGAAAACAGAAAAATTTTATATTCCACTTATTTCATTTAAATTCAAATGCGAATAATTTTTTGTTTATTAGTTTATTTTAATTATTTAGCCATATTTATTAATGTTTTATAGGCTTTTCATTTTGCTCAATTAATCTTAAGGAATGCAAAAGGAAATACTTTTGCGGATACTTTACCGTAAAATAGCTAAGTAATATAAATAATTAGCAAAGCGAAGAATTATGATTATAAAAAAAGCTTAATTATTTTATTAATTTATAAAAAGTTAAGCTTATTTTTAGGACTTTAATCCGCTCTTCGGAATAATTTTAATTCAAACATTATGATGAAAGAATTCAAATGCAATAATTTATTTAACATAAACGTCGGAAAATATAAAAGTTTCAGACCAGTTTATTAGATAGTTTTTGAATGATAAAATAAATCATAAATCAAAAATAACGAAAATAACGAAAATCAGAAAAAAATTTGGAAATTTTTAAAAAATTTCTCAACGAAAAAAATATTATACATCTAATGGAACTTTCTCAAGCTAAAAGATAAAACTTAAAGTTGAAAATCGAAAACTTAAAGATTTGAAAGTTTCTTTTTTTCTCATTTAGATTTTTCAATTTTTGGAAATTTTCTTGTGTAACAAATAATTATCATAGAAAGAATGACAAATGGCGCTTTTCCGAAATCTCCATTTTTCGAATCTCAGAGAATCTCAGAGAAATTATTAGAGTATACGCAAAATACTTGGTACTATTTTCGAAACCTTAGTCATACCAGAAATAATATATGTTATTTATGAACTAGAGAATGGCTCAGTGGGTTGCTGTCCTCATTTCGGATCACGGTGCTTCAGGAGATTCAACAAGGAGTAGAATCGGCGTTTTAAAAATCCGAGCGGTACTGGCATGTGCAATTTTGTCGCTAATTGATTTTTTATTCTCCTTCCCTATATTTTTATATTTTCCCTAGCAAAATTCGTTCAATCCAACAAGCCAATTGGAAACCTAAATGTTCTTTGCAAAAAAGAGCTGAATCGCTCAATCCTTCGACATTTTTTCAAAATAAATACGTTTTTGTGGTGACACTTTTATAAAATATCCGATTATAAATGCGACGTTTTAGCGAATGTAATTTTCATTTTCATAAACAAAAATATTAATGAATCGCTGAAATTCTGCTTATTTTTTATTGTTCAATAAGCGAATTTTGACGGAAGAAAATTTGAAAAAAATTTTTTTCGTCACAAAAATTTTTTTAGTTTATTTTGTCGACAAAAGGAAATTAATATTGTATAAATTTCTATCGCCTATAAAACGATTTCATCATAAAAATGAAATGAATTAATCAAATTTTTATTGCCAGGAATTCAATATTTCGATAGAGTAAATGACGGAAATTGCAAATTAGTAAGTAATTTTTTTTTTGATTGCTCTTCCCTATTTATTATTTTTTTATTTATTTAGAAGAAAATTAAGCGTGGGAGATTAGCTATGTACTCTACGCTAATAATAATAATAAAATAATAATAATAAAAATAATTATAATTAATAGTAATAATGATGATAATAATAATAATAAATGACTAGTCCTATAAATATTTTTTTAGAACCATACTTCCACTCTAGGGAGTGGACAATATTGCTGGTCTGTGGGTGCCGCTGGGAACTCGGGCGTCTTACTGGCGCAGAATAAGATTTAAACAAGCTCTATTAGAAGAGATTTCGCGAAGGGCGTAAAAAATTCTCCTTTCTAGAATGGGGTAAGAAACCATAGTTTAGTTTAGAAAATCAAGCAAGATTAGCCATGTGCTTGCATTTAACATAAAACAATTTTTATCTTTACATAGCACGAAGCTGTATTTTTTACAAAATCACCTATGATTTGCCTATTAGATCAGCAAGATTTAGGCCTGGACTTTAGGCTTAGGCTTGGGTCAGCTTAATAATTTCGCCATCATTATATCAAATACTAATAAAATTCATTTTTAAATAATGACCTTTTTTTCATAGTATCTTTTAATTATAATTTAACGACAATAATTTCGCCAATAAAAATTTGGCGAAGTTTTTTTTATATTTTTGCAAAAAGTAATTAATTTTTTTGTTTTTACAATGTCTGTTTTTTTGTTAATTAAATTCGTCGTTCTAAACCTTCGCAGAATTTTTTAAAATTTAAAGCAAACTCAAAAAAAAAATCTTAAAAAAAAATTTCTAAAAATGAAAGGAAAAATGAAAAAATTTTTTAGTGAAAATTTAGAAAATGAACAACAAATGAAAATGAAAAACAATTAAATAGTGAATAATAGAAGATTAATTGACCAAATTTCCAATTTTTTCACTAAATTTTTGTTTTTTGCTAATTGATTTAAAGAAAATTGTTAAAATGATAAATGTCAATGCTAATTGTTAAAATGATAAAATGATAAGTGAAATAATTTAGCGAAGGCTATTCGCTTGTTAGCTCGGCAAGTACCGTGAAAGATGTGGCAAATAGGCATAAATTCAGAAATACCCGTGGTATGGGTTGGATTGTTACCAGTTTATTCATAGTCGGTGAAACCGCTGGAGGTGGACTTGTTGCTATGCCGACTGCTGTTGTTTCTACGGGTTGAAATTTCAATTATTTAATCAAAATATAGAAACTGCGAATAATTGTATATATAATAATACCTTATAGCTATTGGAGTGTTATTAGAGTTTAGGATGACGCAGGTTTGTACGACAGCTTGAAAGCAGCATGGAACTAGATCATGGGTTGACCCTAGCTGGAAGAACAGTCCTGCAGCCTTTATTATTTGAAAAAGATTCCTTTTAAAAATCGACAAATGAAAAATTTTTCTTTCGAAATCGATAAAAATAATTGCTCCATTATCATCATAAAATAATCATTCAGGATTGCTTGGTGGAATAATTTTAATTATTTTCGGTGCATTGATATGCACATATACATCATATCAGCTTTCGGAAAATTGGACAATTTTACAAGCAAGATGGCCAGAATATAGGAATTATTGCAGGAAACCATATCCTTCTATGGGATATAGGGCGATTGGACCTCGATTTAAGTATTCATTTTATATTCATTCTTATAAATTGCTCGATTACATACAGATTGAAGGTGATTGGCTTATTTTAGGACTTTTGTTTCTATTTGTTTGGATGTGACGATGTTCGGCACAGCAGTTGTTTTTTTATTACTTGCTGCCAAAAACATCGAAAATATACTTCATGTTTATGGCAGAATTCACATTGATTTTTGTTATCTGGTGTTAATTGTTGGTTTCTTAATGTTACCATTAACTATGTTGAAAAGTCCAAAGGATTTTTGGTTTGTTTTTCTTTATTTCCAAAATAATATTACTTCAATATTCCTCGGGGTATTGCTGGCGATTCTGTATTTCTATCAATATATCGCCAGGAGATTCCCTTGTATATTTTTCTAAACCAAAGAGCCAGCGGTGCAAGCCTAATAAAACATTGGTTTTTAAGGTGGGCTGTAATTGCTGCGATGGCGACCACTTCTATTGCTGTAGTGCTTATACTGATTAATGCATCAACTGATATATCCTTATGTTCTCCTCATAATGCATATCCTTCACTTCAACCTACCAAGTTTGTTATAATTTTTCCTTTAATTTTCTAAAAGTTAATACGAGAATAGTTTAAAAAATAAAATTTCGTCTTTTAGGTTTTTCCTATCATTTGGAACGGTGATGTTTGCATTCGGTGGACATGGTGCATTTCCTACCATTCAACATGATATGGAAAAACCGTATCTATTTAAGCGATCTACTTTTCTCGCATTTACCAGTTAGTTATCAATATTTTTGGCAAATATAGATGATTTTTCATTGGCTATTAAATTTTAACATTTTGTAGAGAAATTTCGTAGCGAATTTCTTTTATATTTTAGATTTGCATATTTCGTTTTGTTTTATTTCGTTAGATTTTGTTTTAATTATAGCCGTTATCATTTTATCATTTTCATGCAATCATTTTAGTTATAACTTTAATGTATATAACAGTATCAGTTGTTGGATATATTGCATATGGCGACAGTTTGCTTGACTCTATCATTCCATCTTTACAAGTATGCAATTTTATGAAATGTTTTTTTAATTTAAAACCCTCCGAAATAAATGTCAGAAATCATTTCAGTTATAACTGCCATTCGTTTCAGTAGAAAATGAAACTTAACAGAAAGAATTAAATTTTCAGAATGTTTATATTCAACAGATCGTCAATATTTTGATTACACTTCATGTAATTCTTGCATTAACAATTGTCTTCAATCCGATTAATCAAGAATTTGAAGAATTATTAAGAGTTCCTCAAGGTGATAGATCAATATTTGAGAGTTTTTTGTAAAATGGCATTTAAATAAATCTAAAATTGTAGATTTCTAGAATTTGGGCTGAGAAGATTCTTGACGCGAACAGCAATGATGACAGCGACAATTTTTGCCGCAGAAACTATTCCAGAATTCGGTGTATTACTTGATCTCGTTGGTGGTTCAACAATAACTTTAATGGCGCTTATATTTCCATCTATATTTAATCTTTTTCTATATGCTAGTGACCAAAAGCATAGTGGCAAGCTGGCGACACCCTCCGAGAAGTGGATTACAATTTCTGAGTTAGAATTCATCTATATTTTATAACCAGCCAGCCAGCCGTAATTTATGGCCAAAATATTTATCCACAATCGATGCCTTATGTCTTTGAATTTTTAAAGTTATTTTCATTGGTATTAAACGTTCATGAACATAATCTTCTTAATTTTCCACTGAATTCTGATATAGACAGATAGCTTCAGTAGCAAAATATAATATTAATGAGTTTCCACTTGGCAACACGAGAGACCATGCAAAATTCTACTCTATCGAAGTTAGAAAACTTAAAATCATATGAGAATATTGATAATATGTTTAAAAAATGAACTCGAAGGCACACATCTATTACCACTTTGCGAATTCCAGAACTATGATCCTGATGTACGAGTGTAATGTTGTAATACATTCTGTTCGAATTAAGTTGAAAGCTGAATGAAAAAATGAAAGAATCGAATAAATTCCTCATAGAATTAGTTCATATCAATTTATCAGTTCGAGTTTATATCGAAAACTTCAAAAAAAAAACTTATTGTTAAAACTGAAAAAAACTAATATGAATATGAATATGATGAAATATATTGTATTGTATTCTTTATGAATAAAAAGAGCAAATGAATTTCAGGGTTATCCAATATAATTCGAAAAGCAGATTATTCATTAATTTTATCATTCTTGGTAAGAAATTGTTATATAGAAAGAAATACTTATTTTATCAATTAAAAATGGTGATTTTATTTCGACGAGTTTGCTAAAAATTTGGTGTCTTTTTAGTTTTTGGTATATTTGGCGGAACTGCAACTACATGGTCGGCAATGAGCGCGATTCTTGATGCAGAATTTTCTTCTCCATGCTATGCAGGATTTTTCAGGAATGGTTTATTGGCTGATAACGATTCGCTTGGCAATACCACTCAATTTGAATGGAAGTATCGCATTTTAGCGATCATATTTTTCTTTATCAACTTCTTTCTTTTTGAACTGAGCAAATCGAAGAAATTTTTATATTTTTATTTTCCGTTTTTTTCGTTATTTTTCATTAATTTGCATCAAAATGTATTTTCAGCAATCACGGGAAATTTGCTTGTTGTGGAATGTTTAAAAATATAAGTTGGCTTGGGACTGATTTTTGCCTAAGTTCCAATGATTTTCTACCTATATCAACTCACCATTAATTTCTTATATAAAGGGAGTCTCAACTGGAGTCGGTTTTTTATTATTATTCGTTCTTATTGCAAAACTGCAAGCAATAGCGCGAATCATAGCTTTTTTTCCGGTTTTTTTACCGTCTCTTACAGGCTTACTAGTGCTGAATCGAAGCGTTTCCACTAGTTGTACAGTTCCATTTATTTTCCTTCATAATCAGTCACAATTATTAATTTACCTTTGCTTGAATTTTTACTTAATTCACTTGAATCATATCAAAATTCGCCACAAACCTACATACAAATATATACAAAATTGAACCGATGAGATGATTTTTCTGCAAAGGTGTATAAAAATTTTATTGATGGCTAATGAATATGGGTAAAGTTACCAATTATAAATGAAATATTAACTTATGAACTTGCAACTAGTAAATCTAAAGAATTAAAAAAATTTCATGACCGTATATTTTTAGATCGAATCGAATTTTCTATAAATTATACAATTCGCAAATATGGGTTATATAAATTCGCGAAAATACTAAATAATAATAACAATATTGTGATTTTAAACTAAAGGAATTATGAATTTTGAATGAAATTATGAATGCCTTAATTTTTACTTACAATTTACTTAGAATTTGTTTTATTTTGCTTTCTTAATAAGCAATAATAATTCTCAAATAGATTTATTCATATTATTTATTATTATATTATTTATAATATTACTATGTTATTATGTCAGTTTTTCGAAAATTTTCAAAATTCCCATTTGAATATCCTAGGAAAATCTGATCTTTTTTTGTGATATTATAAAGTTCCAAAGCTATGACAAATTAAAACATTTTTACTGTGGTTTTGCTTAGTTTTTCATGGTATTCTTTGGGTTGGATCCGGCGAAATTGTTTATTCTTTTATCGTATTCCTTCATTTTCACATACCATTTCACAACATCATAGAACTACTTTCTTTTGTGAAAATTCTGGATTCCTAATTTTATTTGTCGTGTAGAATACTTTTGAAAAAAAATTTGTGAATAAACTTTGATCGAACAAATATGAAAGAAATTTAAATATTTATCTAGTAATATTTATTTTGACGACTAACTGATTGACACTCAATAAACGAAAAAAATAGTAAAATCGGTAAGTAAAAGCAAAATGGCATTGCGAAAAAAGTTTTCTAAAGAGTATTTGCTAAATGGATTTGTTCCTAAAATTGAAGCTCAGCAAGGGATCTGAGGGCCACCAAATGGAGGTGATTTTAGATGTATTGGTGGAATGTAAGCAGGCACAGCGGTTCGTAGTGGTGAAAGCTCAAAGGTAATGTGTCCAAAATCAACAGCATATTCGTAGCAAAAAACACTTATATAATTCAAGTCGTAAACGTTAAACGGATCAGGTAACCGTACGATTAAATCTCTACTCCCATCATAATTCTCTCGCAGTGGACAATGACTGAAAGCGTCGATTAAAAATCACCAAAAAATTATTTGCAAAAGAACTTAATTTGACGTATTCTTTATCAAAAGATAAGCGAAAATCGAATTCGTCGGTTAATTTTTTAGGAAAAATTTAATAAATATTTAAAATGGCAATTTTTTTTTCCTTTTTTATTAGGTGATAATCAAAAATGTTTATGGAATTTCTTAGCTTCGGTTGAAATCCAGAAATCTAAAAAAAATAAATCTAAAAACAAAAAAATTGGTGATCAATTTAAACAATTTAAAACTTACTGTTGCCAAGTGTCTCTGCCAAGAACCAAAGCCCTTCGCCCTTTTTCCTTATCTAAGTGACCTTTTCCGACAAATATCCACGCATCTAAAAACGAAGAGAAATGATATTCAAATGAAATCCATTTAGATCATTCTCCCTCAAGCTGTTTATATGTTATCTACGGGAATGAATATTGCAATGAAGATTTATCTTGTGAAAATATTGGGAAAGTTCAAATCAATCTGCCATTAACCCATATAAAAATATACTGCTGATCTAATGGAACATTTAACGAGCGTTTTAAGGATTTCTAGGTCGGATCCATGTAAATCTTGCTTTACCTCCAAGATTTACATGCGTAATTGCGTAATTTTGGAACACATTCTACTCGAATAAATCCACTATTAACTTGTTAAATCCAATTTCGTCCAAAAGTGGAAAAATTAATTAATCCGAATTATTTTTATTAATAAACCATAATTATGATTTAAAACTTTTAGAATGCAACCTATCATCTTAAATAAAAGGTTAAATTTACGATTTACTCTTAGCAGAGAATTTTTAAACTATAATAATTAATTATATTCCACAAGACAAACATCGAAAATAAAATCCGTATGGTGCTAAAAACCTATATCTCGACCCTCAAGTGAATTTTTGTGGCGAAGCCTCATCTAAGTAATTGGCCGACCAAACCAGAAGTGGTGCAGAGAGATATTAACTCAACTTACTATCAACATAATAATTTGTATTGAGAAGTTACAAACAAATTCACCAGGGGGTTTTGAACCGTCAAATATAAATTTTGGTATTCGTAAAGTTTTCGAGTCAAGAACTTGAATCGGTTTTGATTGTGTGCCATACTCCAGAGGAATCAAACCATTCACTGGATCCTCCGGATTGCTTATACAACAAAATCGCTTTGGTGGTTCACCTTTAAGTTCCAATACTGCTTGGTAGGTCTTAAAATTAGAATTATTTTTATAAATGGTATGAAATAATAAAAATGGTTTTTTATTCAAGCTTTTCTTGCAATAAAATATAAAATACAAAACATTTACCGCATTATCATTATTATCACTACTACTATTACTTTATCATTAATATTACCATCGATATTATTATAATTGAAATTAATACCATTATTATTATAAAATTATGTTTATAAATATTATCTCTTCATTTATATGCAGAAGTCTTCCTTTATGATTTACTGGAAATTATAGTTTATTTCCGCTGAAAATAATGTTTTCCATTGTTCCAATTATCTTCAAAATAAGCGCTTTTTGTCTTCAAAAAAGTCAAAATCAAAGAAAACCATTAAAGAAATCGAAAAGAAAAGATTATTATATCAGTCTATAATCGGTGTTTACCATTTTACCATTTCCTATATCATCCCTTATCAGTTAATACGTCTGTTATTATCAATTTCTTTCAATCTTCCTCTTCTTAAAAATAATTCTTACTGTTATCAGTGATATCAGTTCTTATCACTGCAAATGTCTATGTCAAATTCTTTTTCTTCGATGAAATAAATTTTATTGCGATGAATGGTGAAAAAAGTGTTTGATGAAATATTTCTATTTTCCAGAATTTACTTTTTAAAAAAACATTTTTCGCAATATTCAGCAGTTAGAGCCGATAAAGCACCGCTTTGCCATATAATTTATAATATTTGCACTTAATTTTTGCAATGCACTGCACTGTTTGCACTTCCGCTCTGCACGCTTGTTTCGCAAAATTTGCACGTAATTTCGGCTATTTGCAAAATGAAATGCCATGCCAAACCCATTTTTTTTTTGGTAATCTTTTCGAAATTATTCGTTCGTAAAAATTTGCGTGTAAAAATCATTAGTGTAATAAAAAATATAAGTAAAAATGGAGCATATTCCAGCACTCACGCACTTCCGTTGTAACACACGTTGCAGGATTACGTGCTTCCTTATACTCGTCATAAAACTATTTATAAATAGGAAATCCGCAACTTAAGCTGATTTTTCGCAAATTTGGAAAAGTCAGCTGCTACGTGAATATTTTTTGTTGGTGAAAATGAAAAGCGGTGATGGATAAGGCGTTTGGAATTTTTGTGGTTATAAATTTATTTATTAGAAATACAAAAGAAATTATTAATAAAAATGATTTGGAATGGAATAATGAAAGTTTTATGGTTTGTTTTTTTTGTTTTCTTCGGCGAAATTATTAAAAATTATTGACTTTATTTAATTTTTAAATTACGATTTTAATTATTATTTTAATCTTATAAAATATTCTTATAAGAATTTTTTGCGTGGTCGTATTAAATCGATTAAATAGGACCAGGAAAGTAGCTTCGGGCCAGTGGTCGCCAACTCTGAGCCCTGCGGACCTCCTCGGATCAGTGGCGATCCTTAGAGCGCGCATAAGCATATATTGCTTACGGAATTGTAGAATTCCTACTTTATTGCCATTGTAACAGACCATTTCGAATTGTATGATTATTTTTTGCTTGCTTTTTCCTATAGTATTCATTCATTCATTCAAAATTCTTAGGCAAAAAAATTTAATATTTTAAAATTTAAAAACATGAAATTTTGTTCGATGCATCCATGAATTTTCGAGGGGATTTGTAGAAGAAAAGTTTGGCCATCGACGCCTGAATTAGGCAATCTGTGAGATATCTGAATCGAGTGAAGCTAAATTTCATCGTATTTTAATAAATTAAAAAGGAATAAATGTGAGTAATAAATAATAAAGAATAATAAATGTTGTAAAATTATTATAGAATAATAAATTATAATGAAATAAAGAAATATATTATATGTGTATGTATATAATTATTTCTTTGTTATTTATTGTTCTATAATATTCGTCGATATGGCGTAGTGGTTAAGGCGGTCGATTAACATAGCATATTCAGCCAAACTTCTTTACTTTTTTTGGCTAAATCCTATCAATAGAATATTGGACTCGGATGTCATTCGGACTGTGGATTGCCATTAGGACATATAGCGGACATATGGACTAGTTATAAGTATCTTGCTATTCCACAATCAGATGGCAACCACAGTGAAAAAGCGTAAATGAACTGCAACACCGAAGAAGACAGGACAAATAAGACAAATCCAGATGGAGAAAGTCAGTGGAGATAAATTATGACTTTAATTGTTTTAATTCAGCAATTATTTGAGGAATTTTTATTTGTTTGCGACGGATGCTCTCCATTGGCACATCAGGTATTTGACTGATTTCCAACGCCGTACTTGCAAAAGATAGTGATCTTTTCTCACACATATTTTAATTTCCAGTTCTTATTCCAGTTCTTATAGGCACCGTCGCCAATAGCGAACCAAAAAATTAAATAAAATAAATTCAAATAAATGTTATGAATCAGGTTACTAATCTCACATCCTTAAGGTCATTCTTTTATAGATTTTTTTGTTATCTTAATTTAAGAAATTCCAGTCTTTTTAAAAATTAATTTGCATGCGAAATTCTTTATCTTATAACAAATCTAATTACAATTTATACTATAATCAGATTACTATAGTTTTTTTGTGTGCATATTTATTTGAACACTCGTTCAAATAACATTATACCACTCCCACTAAATGTTTTTATGTTAACCAAAGTTCTATATACATTCTTCTTCTTCTTCTAACAGATGTCACCATTACTAGTTAGACTGGCTCCAAGGGCTACAAGAGTAAAACATTTCCAAGTAGCGCGGTCTGATGCTATCGTCGACAGTAATAGAAGCCATTCCTTTTTCTATCGTCTAAGTCCATATATTGTTGGTCCATCTATACGTTCAAAATCTTTTCTCACCGTATTAGTCCAGGTCTTGATTGGCCCACCTCGCTTTTAACGCCAATCATCACACGGTTTAGCAAATAACGAAATATGCATCAACTCCTGTGGTGGACGATGGAGAATGTCCCTAACCAGCTAAGACGATGCTCTATGATAACATTATTAATGCAAGTGCTATTTGAACGAAGATGGATGCGATCTTGTGATATTTTATCCGCTCGACGGATCCGTAATATGTACCTTAGACAAGAGTGGTCAAAGGCAGATAATAACTTCTTAATATCCTCCACTCTTATTGGCCATGTCTCAAAACCATATAGGAAGATCGAACGGATCACGGCAATATAGGACTTTTGTTTTTATGGTAATTTCACGACATAAAGGTTTCATCAACCGGAAGAACGTTTTTCTAGCTTCCGTGATCCGAGTTGTAATATCATATTATTTACTTATTATCGCATTTATTATTTATTTTATTTATTGACTTATTGTATTTATTTATACAATATATACTTAATATTACAAAATATTGTTTATATTATCTTTTATTTTTTATCAAGTCTTTATTGTTTGCATTATTTGTATAAAAAATAATTTTTTTTAGAAATAATAAAATAAAATAAAATATTTGAAGATTATAAACGATGTTGGAATCGTAAAAAATTATTCATTGCCGCGTTGTTCAGAGTCTGTTTGTGTAGGTCCACTGTCAGATATTTATTGTAATGGTAAACTAATATATATAACATGGTTATTTGGTTTACAAAGTACTTGCCCCGGTGAAATGTTATTACGGTCACCAAAAGAAGTTCTTGGAGACTTTTATAGGTTTCTTCTTTTTCTCATTTTAAATGAAATACTTCAAAAAAAATTTTCTTCTTATAGGTTTCGTTCTTTTCAAATATATACAAAAATTGTTCGATGTTTTATTGCAATTAATTTTGAATAATCAAAATTAAATGAGTTATTCATTGGCATCAGTGTAGAATATTATAATACAATTAATATAAAAATCACTGGGGAAAATTAAAATTTTTTTATTAATTTTTAGTTTACCTAATCCAATAAAACGGGAGAATTTTGAAAAGTTTTGCAACCGCAATTTTGCGAAATTTCCTTATCTATCATCAGCAGAATTAAGCGACTGGACGCAAGAGCCTTATAACATTCGACTTTTAAACGACACTCATCTAAGGTTTACTTTTTATGATAAACGTGATGCTCTGTAATTATTTTTACTTCAAATTTTTTACTTTGATTTACTTTGACTTTGATTGAATTACGTTTTGTAGGGAAATTTTTGAAGAGTGTCTTCATTAAGAAATAATTGTGAATGTACTTTCAGCAATGAAAGAAATTATAATTTTTGCAGAAATTTTACTTTAAAACTTAATGCTATTTGGAAGAAACTGGGACGACAATTTAACCCTGAGGTGCGAGAAAAAATCCATCTTTTTCCTGTATTCCCCGTACCTAACCCCTTCATTGTTCCTGGAGGCTTCTTTAATATTTATTTTTATTGGGATTCTTATTGGATCATAAAAGGTTAATTTTTGTTGTTTTTTTAATTTAAAAAATCACTTTAACATTCCCGCATTTGACGTTTTGATTTAATGCCAATTTAGGAAAATTTAGGCAAATTTTGATTTTGCAAAATCCAAATCACTTTTAAAGTCTTATTTAAACAAATTCATATTTCAATAATTTTACAAATTAAATTCAATTTATTGAATAAATTCAATTAGTATTTTAAATATTATAAAAGATAGTTTCAGGGTTATTATTCTCAAATATGACTTTAACTAGTCGAAATATCCTTAATAATTTCGCAACTGTTATTACTCATTTTAATTTTATACCTAATTCTGGCAACATTGGGTTTGTTTATTTTTTGATTCATTTCATTTATTTTCGATTTCAGTTTGATTTAAATGTAGTCCATTTATGTTATTGCAGCTTATCAAGACGAACCCAGCCACCTCTTTTTGTTCAGATGGTAGCTGACTTTTATGATGCAACAAAAAATAAGACATTTTTGGCAGAAATAATGCCTTTTATCGAGACCGAATTGTCTTGGTGGCAACAGAATCGTTCGATTTCTGTTGATTTACCCACTGGAGAACGATATTCTCTTTTTCGATACAATGTAAGTTGCAAATTTGCAAATTTTAATAGCAATAATTTGCAAATTTTTGAAGTCGAAATTTGCTAAAGAATTTAAAATCTAATTAAATATATTTTTCTTTTTCTTTTTTTTTAGTCGATAAGTAATTGTCCACGACCAGAAAATTATTTGGTCGATTTGGATAACGGGTTGAATGGGACCGGTGATCCAGAATTTATATGGTCATCAATAGCAAGTGCTTGTGAATCTGGTCTTGATTTTAGCTCACGATGGTTCGAATATGATGGGCCACATGCAGGTGATACTTCTTTTAACAATTAAAACCGTTTTTATTGTCTTCCTTTGCCATCACCTTTTTTTCTATGTTGAGATTTATAAATATTCCTAAAAAGGAATTTTCTTAATGATTTTTATTCCCCAGTTTCTTAGATTATTTCCTTCTAAGGATTTTTCCGATTCGTTAGACCATGTCCAAATTTGGCCAAATCGGTTTTGATGCTATCGAAAGGACAGAATACCTATTAAATCGAAATGAAATACCATTGCAAAGTTTTCGCTATATTGTAAAATTTATTTTTATTTGAAGCATTTTCTATTATCATTATTATATGAAGATTAATCGCTATTATTATTTGTTAAATAAATTTTTTAAGTTTTTTACAATTTTCTATTTTTGCGAGTTTAAATATTAGAGTATTAAAAAAAGGTCTGGCAGGTAACGTTTTCATTTTCATTTTCACTTATATTAGATCGTCAAAAATCGTAGATCATTAATCTAATGATTCATCAAGTTAGTTTTATTTCATTTCATATTCATTCATCTTATGAATTATGGCCTTTCTTCTTTACTTTTTATAATTGCAAATTTCATAAAGGATTGCTAATAGGAATGGAATAAATTTTGTTATAGCTAATAATTGCTAAAATCTTTTATGCCTTAAAAATATTCATTTAGGTACGAAATTTTCAATTCGCACCAATACCGTTATTCCAGTTGATCTAAATGTTTTCATGGCATGGAATTATTTTACTGTTGGAAATTTTTTCAAAATTTTGGGAAAGGAAAAGTTTGTTTCTCAGTTTTGCTTAATTTTCTATTATTTAAAAAAAGGACTTCATTTTGGCTATGTATATGTTCAGTTTTTAAAAAATAATTTAAACTATTGTAGTAAGACTAAAAAGTATGATATCCTTGGCAAGGAACTCAAAAATGCTATACAAGCTGTGATGTGGAATGATGAAGATGGGATCTGGTATGATTACGATTTGGTAAAACGGCAGCATCGCAAAAGATTTTATCCTAGCGACGTTTTTCCTCTTTTGCTGGGTGAAGTAAGCGATGAAATCGGATCAAAAATCTTAAGTTATCTGGAGTCGGTACAAGTTTTGGACTTTAGAGGTAGATCTATTGCGAAAATAATCCTGAATTTCTACTTTCAACCAATATTACAAGTTCGCTTAATTATCATAGATTAATGATATTATTTATAATAAAAAAGTTCATTTTGCTGATAATCACTTTTTGCAACTGTATGCAACTGTATACATTTTTTTTCAAGGTGGAATTCCTTCTTCACTGGATAAAGAATCTGAACAGCAATGGGACTATCCAAACGGATGGGCTCCAACTATTCATCTTTTCGTCGAAAGTTTGCGTGTATCAGGTCATAAGCAGTTGCAGAAACTGGCCAAAGACATTGCTGACAAATTTATTCATACGGTCTACAATGGTCTGATGAACACATCCCAGAGTTTGGTGGGTCATTGTTTAGGACTATTTTTTATTTAATTCTTGGTCAATTTATGCGGCAAATTGTCTTGCTCATATTTAAGCCTTCTGCATGTTGGGAAAAATATGATGTTCGTTATGAAGATGGTAGGCCTGGAAACGGTGGTGAATATATTGTTCAACAAGGTTTTGGGTGGACAAATGGTGCCGTTTTGGATATGATAAGGCGGTTTTATATTCTACAAAGCGGTCATTTCGACTTAGATTCTAAAGGTTACAGTATTTGCTAAAACTATTTGTTATTTATCAACGCCTTATATGAATTCCGTCCGTTATCTAACATTTCCCCAAAAATTATAAAAATCAGTTGAGAAAAGCCCAGTTCCCTAAGTTCCATGCATGTATTTTTGTTATTTACATTTAAATTCGATTACATGGTTGGGCATGGTTTTATTCTAACCTATGATTAACTTTTACTTTAAATTCTAAATTATTAATAATTTTTATGTCTCATAGCCCTTTTTGCAGCTAAGATACATTGGTGGAATTATGACGCAATAAATCTTGATTTGTGGATTGTCATTGTAGCTATTATATTTTGTATAGGATTAGTCATTTGGTACGATTTAAATATTGCCATCGCTGTCCTTTTTCTTTTTAAATTTATGAATATTTCTCCTATGCATTTTGCTTTTACGATACTACGCTCCACTCCACAGGCTTCCTTCCTCACTTTTATTTCTTGTCTTTAACCTTTTGCACTGTTCCCGTTCTCCTAAGGGTAAATCTCTCATTAAAAATGAAATTCGCATGCTTCTGGGGAGCCTGCTTCTATCGTGTATCTCCAGATAATCCTAGCAGTTAATGCAACGAAACAGAAACAACGCCACAAATGGAATTTTTACTGATCAGAGAATTTTAGTTTCCACCGATTTAATCAATTTTTATTTTGCCTTAGCTTTAAAAGTATTTTTACTAAATTGATCTATAAAATTTGGTTTAAAAACCAGCTATTCTTTAGTTCCAAAAAAAAAAAATTTGCTGCAATGTTATTACGTTGGTTATGGGTCACATATGGTAAATGGTTATAATTTCTTTTTGCATGTTGAGTTTACCTTTAATTTTCCTTTTTCTCTTGGTTTAATTTTATCTTAATTTTTATTTTCTATTCCTTTGGAAATTTTGTTATCTTTTGGGACTTATTTTCGGTTATGGTGCACAATATATAAATCATTGCTTTTTCGCTTATGTTTTATTGTTTTCTATCGGAATTCTATTCCTAACGAAATTTTTCTAGGTTTTCTGTATCGTTATCATGGAAAATTTCTATCTTTACGAAAAGGAGTTCAATACGAAACGATTTTATCTCAACAAGAAAAAAATTATCTTCCTCAGAAATGACTGAGCTATTACTCGATGAATGTAGCGATTAATGATCAGATTTGAAAAATGCTTTTGCTTTAACGAAAGGTGAATATATTATTTTAGAAAAGTCCGTCATTCCACCAGTAAATATCACGACTAGTCTCTTAATGTTCTCTATGAATTTATTAAGTATGCACATCTCTGCCGAACATTTTCTTCGTATGCCATATATGTCTTCAACTCTTCGTCCAGTTGTATAATTCATTTGGGTCTTTCATTTTCAAAGCATAATAAATATCTATATCTATATAAATTAAAAGTTTAAAGGTACGGGTATTGTAGATGAATCCAAAGTAAATAGAAGATTCATTTTGTGCTTTTATAATATATTTTGTTATATTTATCGTTTATTCAAGAACTATCCGCTTATTTTGATAAAAAATTTTTCTCAATGCTTTTTGAAACTAATTTTCGGGATTTTCGGGTCTTCATAATTTATTAATGAAATGAATAAACTACTTTGTTTTTATCGTTTTCTGTTGAAAATTTGCTTATAGAATGACAAAAATTCACGAAAATTAGCTGATTTATTATAGGCACTTTCTTGATTAGTTCCGCAGGAATTCATATAGATAAAGTGATAATTAAAGTGATAAATTCCAAGCAATTAAGCCAAAATGAAATAAAAAATAAAAAGAATTACTAACATTTCCACGTTTCTCTGCGACACCAAAATATTTCCATTTTTTGTAATTATGCGGAATAACAATAATTAGTCGCGTAATTTCGCTGCCCTCGAATGCATTATTCCTGAAGGAAAAAAGAATTATTGTTCGATTATTTTATCAATCGGATATATTTGCGTATTCGATAAGTGACTTGTTAGATATGCTTGTAATGCGTTCCCATTTGGCTCGTTCCACTGCTTGGCTTGGGTGCTACGCTTTTGCTGGCTGGCTTGGAATGAATAATGCGACCCGTTATACCCCACTTGCTAGCGTCCGCCGGAGCATCCATCCAGTAATACAACATAATGATCATATTGAATGATAACATGATTTTATCAGTTCTCTGAGCCAGCGATTCGAGAGATATTCCCTTTCTTCTAAGAATTTCTAAGAATTCGAATAGAAATGAAATAGGTCGAAAAACTGACTTACAATGGTTTTGAATAAAGTCCACCTGGCGATTCCATAATTTCGTAGATCGTTTGCGCCTCAGCCGCATCATCAGGAGAGGTGAAGAAGAAACCGAGATCTTCATCGTCTAAACTCGCTCTGCATTTCGCTTTTGAGCAATTTTTTTTACGCGAAATAATCAGCATTTTGAAGTGATTTTTATTTTTCTACATTAATTTTCCATAGATTTCTTTTGATAATTTAAAAATTTACGAATAATTTATTCAAAATAATGATAACAATAAAAAATAATGATAAATGATAAAAATAAAAAAATTTTCCAACCTTTTGGAAGAGGAAAACGAAAATTTGTGATTTGTAATATCGTTTCGTTTGCAACCCAAACATTTCCAACGTTCTCGAATTTATTTGTCTGTAATTCACCAATTTTTATTCCATAATATTCATCACTTCTCGCTTCATCTATAATTATCAATATCAATATCAATTAATTTCTTATTTTCTTAATTTATATGATTTGATAAATTTTTGAATTTTTGATAAATTTGAAATATAATGATGTAAATTTTCTTCATTTTTGCATTTATTTGACCTCAATTTGAGGTGTTTTAAAGGTGTTTTAAAATTTTAAATTAAATTTGAAGAATTTTAAATAGTTATTTTTAAGAAAAAGAAATTACGAAAATAAAATAAATATTAAATTTATATTAAAATAAATAAATATTAAATTTTATAAAGTATTTGTAATTATTAATTATTAATATTTGCAAGTATTAATTAAATTCGAATTCACAGAAATGTATAAATTAAAAGATTTTTTTATCATATCATATCATATATCATATCAGATTTTACATTCTTCGAAATTTTTTTAAAATTTATACATTTTATATATTTAAAATTAAAATATATTTTTTATTTTATATATTTTATATATTTAAAATTAAAATTTTAAGTATATTTTTTGCTTGAAATAAGAATTCGAGAAGAATAAACTTACGTAGAAATGCAACGATAAATATTAGTGGAAACATTAAAAAGCATCAATTAGTGATAAATTATTGTTGAAATGATAACCTTAAATATTGTTATTTTATCATAAAATTCGTTTATTAAAGAAGAAATTTGTCGAATAAAACGAAATTCTCTTTTTTTTATTTAATTTTTTTGTGTTTAAACCAAAATTTGCACGAACCGTCGAGAATTTTTTGATTCAAAATTTCATTTATAATTCAAAAAAATAGAAAAGTTTTTTATTAAATGGTTGATTCAGAGAGAAAGCCAAAGAATAAATGCAGCGATTTTCTTGAAATGAAAAATAAAATCGGACAAAAAAAGAGGTCAAAACGGGGTCATTTTTCTCGATGTCATCTTCGAAATTCTTTATTAAGTTTTATTATTATTTAATAGGTCATTTTCTCATTTTATTTATCAAATTTTCATTCTAATAAAATTTCAAACAAGAATTTTCTATTAATTTTAATAAATTTCATGTCTTTTTTATAAAAATTATTAGAATATTTCGATTCGACTTCAGCAAGCAAAATGAGTTCCATTAATTTTTCGTGGGGGCCAGCGGATCGAACGAAACCAGCAATGATGCGAGCTATTAGAAGAAGAAAGAAGATGGAGGCTAATAAATTTTCTAAAAAATCTTCCTCAGTTGAATGTTTCGAGAGAAAAATCGTCTGTTTATTTATTGCAATAATTAGTAATTTTATAAAAAACTGCAATTTATAATTAAATAATTAAAATTAAAATTAAAATTTATGTTTTTCAGACTAAATTTATCAAAGTTTTTTATTGAATAAAATATTTTATTTAATGATAATTGTAATATTCGAACGAAAATTTGTTTGATTCACTTATTTTTTAAAAATGTTTTTTCTATTTTTAGAAAATTTATTTCGCTGATTTATTTGCTTCGATGATTTCATGTTTTATTATTATTTGTTTATTAAAATGAAATAAAAAATGCTAAAATTATAAAAATTCTTGATAAAAGTTTCGATAGTAAAAATGAAGAAAATATAATAAAATATAATTATATAAAAATAATCCAAAATTTTTAGTTTTGGTTTATGTCGTTTCGAAGTTTATTTATTATTGATAAATACGTTTGATAAATAAACAATGATAAGCGGAAATAGTATATATTCAACATGAACATGAATTAAATGCGATTAATGTAATAAGATTTTATGTCTACGAACCAGATTTATTGGAAGCGAAATAATAATGAGTTTTCCAAATATCTCTGAAAATATAGAATATAGAATAAATGGGGAAAAAATCACTGAAAATATAGAATATAGAATAAATGGGGAAAAAATCACTTGTCGGAAGTTGCATGTTCGGAGAAAAAAGGAATCTTTAGAGGAACCCTGCTAGGGTATTTCTAAGAAAAGTAGAAAAGGCGCTTTTTCATTTCATTGAAATTTTATTCGGAGAAATAAGTTGAAAAACTTTAATTTCTTCGCTAATTTGAACATTTTTCGGCAAATTTTGTTATATAAATTGGATATAACATAACTATAGATGTTGTACTATACCTTTTATTCCATAAATAAATCTATAGCAAAGCTAATTAATTAATTAGCTTAATAAAAGATTAATTAAGCAGAGGCCTTCAAAATAATGAAAACAATATGTGCAGCACATTTGCAGTGCAACTGAATATAATTCAAGAATATAAATTTTTAATTAAGAAAATAACATAATAATCAAAAGAACAAATAATAATTAAACTGGTAAAATAAATATAAATCAACCTATTAACAGATGACATTTTAAAACCCGTAAAACTGGCAGATGGGTATGTTCAATGATAAAATAATTGAATAAAAATAAAATTTAAAAATTTTGAAATGCCATAATCTTATCATATTTCGATTCGATCTGATTTTTTCACACTTGAATTAATCAAATATTCAAAAAAAATTGCGCAATAAGATTCCCATCAAAAATTATAGACAGCGTAATCACGAAAACAAATATGCGGATTTAAAGATATGCGGATATAATAGTAACAGCGATGAAAATCAAGAACTTTCTTTCTGTTCAGTTTTCCACATATTTAAATCAAGAAAAGCGTTTGGTATACTTGATCCATAATATATTTTATTGTTTGCTGCAACCGCTTCTATCTTTTTTAGTGTCAAATATTCCCTAAAATAAGAAATATGTGAAATTTACTAATATGTTGAAATTAATTTATCAATTATAACACAAAGAGAAAAACTTTATGAAAACAGCAATGCATAATCCATATTATCAGTCTTCCCACTAATCTTATGTCTAATCGTTGTTAAATTAAAATTACTCGGTAAGAAGTAGTCGGTTTCCTTCGGCTTCCTTCATTTTTGAGTAAAATTCCGCATCAGCTTTTGCCAGCTGACTTGCTTTGTGACTTTCATCTTAATTTGCATGAAATAAAAAATCCATGAAGTCGATAAAAAAAATTCAATGTAAAGATAAAGAAAAATGAAGAAAATAAATAAAAATAGAAAACAAATTTAAAAAAAGATTTTTTTGATAAAAAACTTCTACCTTCTAACTGAGCAATCTTCTTTTGCGCTTCTTTTTTATCAATTGCCTGCTGAAATTGGATAGCTGCGACCTGCGCAGCTTTTTCAGCTTCTGAAATAATATCAAAAAAAATTAAATCAAGCCGTATTTAATTGATAGCTTTGACATTGAAGAACGATGAAAAAAATTTTATCATTTTCAACCAGAATATTTTGTTAGTAACTTTTATTAAATGTACTGATATAAAAAGCGGATTAGCTTGAAAAAGAATTCAAAAAAATAAAAAAAATAAAATGGAAGTTAAACATTAATAACCTATTACGGCTTTTTTGCGTTCTGTTTCAGCTTCTTTTTCTACAACACGTTGATGCTCAATTGCTACTAAAAGTTTGGTTTTTTCAGCCTCCCTAAAATTTTATGAGATACTTTTTAGACAACTTTTATGTACAATCAAAAGAACTGAAATAATGCTCATCTGAAAATGGGATGAAATATACAAAGAAAAAAATTTTTTTTGAAATTACTTATTAAAACCAAACAGATGAAACAAAATAGCTAACATTCGCTCATAATTCTGACGAATGGATTCAGGTATTTTTGGCTTAGTAACTCTTACAGCTTGCACCGCTAAACCAGGAGCCATGATATTCAAATCCATTTGTAATGCTCTCTTTAAGTTATCATCGATTTGATCTAAATGATTCTCTCATTAAATTTTGAAAAAATCACTAAAATTTTACGCTAGAATTTAAAACTATATTTTTTATTTGTCGTTTTTTATTTTATTTATCATTTATCATTTTTATTTGTCGTCAAAAAAACTACCACATTCTCTAAATACTTCAAATTCGAGATATATGAACACAAAAAATTAAAATTTCGTTAATAAATCGGCAAAATTAGCCGAGTTTTTCTAAATTCTTATATATGCAAAAAGCAACAAATAGAAACCAAAAAAAAAGAAACCAAAAAGTACCAAAAAGGTCGATATAAACCTCCTGAAGTGTATGTCTGCTACAAAATTGATTCACTTCATGATGAACTTTGTTGAAGATTAATGGTTTATCGTAATCGACCGTATAATTTTTTACAATATTATAAACTTAAAAATAACTATGATAAGAAAAAAAGCAAATCGAGAAATAGAATAAAAAAGAATTGAATTGTAATAAAAAAGAACTAATGATAATGATAAAGAATCACCGCTTGACGGGGAAAGTATATTGACTATTTCGATGCGATCGAAAAAGATCATCACACCACCGCTGAAGAAAAAAAAAAAAAAATTTATGGGTAAGCGTTTACGTCGTTTCCTGTCACTTGTCGAGTATGAATTTGTCAATTATTGGATAGTTTCTGACGGGAATTGGCATTACCTAACCCCAAAAAAAATTTTATATCCATTTTATAAAAATTTTAAAAGTGACTATAACTAATTCAAGCAATAAAATCCGCTGCAAATTCTCAAAAGTTTAAAATTTCAATTTAACGATTGAAAAAGTATAAGAATAGCAAATAATTTAATTTAAATATTATGGCCAACTCAACTGACTAAAAAAATTTGTTAATCTCACCTGGTACCGCAAGGGACATTCCTGGTTTCATCGGTTTGCAATGTGACCTGCACTGATCGAAAAGTTGTTAAAAAAGGAAACATTAAGTGATAACCCGGTTCGCTAACACTACTTAGCAATGCACCACCCTGTAATGCAAAAAAAAATTACATCTTTACTCTAAAAAATGCAAATAAACCCGCTTGTCGGACTCAGACAAACCAGGGTATTCCTTGACGATAGAAGTACAGGTGAGTGGCCAGCATCACCCGGACTTTTTGAAGTACATGTTCACTCCCCTCAGGAGCGCTTCAGAATTTCAGCGCACTGAACTGTCACCAGCGAGCCACTGTACTCTCCTTTTTGCTTCGTTATTTCACCGTTATAAATATTTAATTAAATCTAAATTTAATTAGAAATTTAAAAAATTTGAAAAAAACTTAAAAAATCCAAAAAAAAATTCACTCGAAAATAAACTCCGACGTGACCTTCATCGATACGATGAATTGAACAAGCGATTAAAAGTAGTAAAAATGCTGCAACGAAAGCGAACGACCAATTCGGAACCATCTAAAAATCACTATGCGCTAAATTGACACACTAAGTTTCAATGTTCTTTCAGTCAAAAATTGCTATCTAAACGCGCAATTGTCGGTGAACCACACTAGTTTGAGCGATACGTGTAACAAAAACTAGTTTCCATAAACAAATATATTAGATCAAATATTCGGTCAATCTAATCTAAAAAAGGTTTGACTGTAGTAAATCGCCTTGTCAATAATCGATAACTCATAATTGCTTGCAATGCATGGAAAGTCAATGACCCCTAACCTATGACCCCTCCAGCCTGACCTGAATTAAATGACATCGCAAAATTTTCGACATAAATTTTTTTAAACCACAAAATTTCCGTTGGTAAATTTCATCCCAATTCCGCTTTTTTTTTGTTTAACTTCGATATCGAAAGTGGGTAATATTGCTGAACAAATAAAATAAGTTAATAAAAATACTCTAAAATTTTAGGTACTTTATGCGTTAATGCAGAGAATGGAGGGTGCTTATCGCACTTTTATACTGAAATACACCATTTATCCTGCTCGGGGGACCTGAAATTATCATTTTGGGGGGTTCCACGAAGAAATTTAAATTAATTTTTAGGTTTCGTGAATTCGCTAAAATAATTTTTCCCCAAAATAAATTGGACTATTTTTATTTATAGCGAATTTCAAACAATTCAATTTACAAAAAGAGATTATTAAAAATAAAATTTCGCGTATGAAAAACGAAACGAAATAATAAAATTATTGACTTATTTCGTCATCGAAACACTTAAAATTTATTAATTAAACATAAATTTTTTTTTCGATTATTTTTCTAATTGATTAATAAAATTGATAAAATTAAAAAAATTAAAATATAAAAATATAAAAAATATAAAAAATATAAAAATATAAATATTAAAAATATAAAAAAAATTTTATATTATAATTTTTTAATTTTATTTAATTTAATTTTATAATTTTATTTTTATTATTGTAATAAATATTTATTAATATTATATATTTAAAAATATTTATAATCGTTTATTAAATTTATTTAATGAAAACTCGTTATATTCCCTTAAAACTGTTTAAAATAGAAATAAGGAAACGGCATGCGCTGCAACGTGAATTTCCGCAATAACTGCAAACACTCGGTCAGCCGGTCGGAAGGAATTTCTAATATTTTCGATTACGAATCCTTTCACGAATTTCACTCCTCATTTACGTGAATCGACCTAGTTGAATTAGCTTGAAATGTCTTTTGAGTGGAACCAAAATGAACTGCAATAGAAATGATACGCAACCTGTTAAAAGCTGAAGAAGGGAGGCGTAAAAGAATTTTATGAGTGATTTGAATGAGACGGGTAAAAATTCTCGTGTATCCTTCGAATTTTCAATTATGAATTAAGCACAATCCGAAAATTTTCACTTCTTTTTAAATATTTATTCACTAAATTAGATTGCAACGTCGCGCATTTCGTCGCGAATCTGTCCCTTAAACGATTTTTACCCGTCAAATAAACGTCACCTCTACAGGTCAGCTAAATCGTCCATGCATTACTCTGTGTAAATTAATCACCTCTTGAAAGTCACCTTAAATTATTAGTGTGGAACTCGTATACAACGAAAGATTACTATGAGTTTATTGTACGCATTTTTTTTTTTCGCTTTACCTTCAAAAGTTTCAAGAGTATTCTCATTTCTAGCAGTACAGCTTTCATAATTTTCCAGTTAATTCAACGTTGAACCAACTCAGCAATTATTCAATTCGAACAAACCGCCTTTCACAATATTTTTTTTTATTAATGGTACCATATTAAAGACAAAAAATCGTTTTTTCGTATTGAAACCAATTTTATTTAAATCCTTTATTATTTATTTTTTAATTTATTTCCATTTTTCAAATTAAAAATGAATATAATTTTTGCATATTCAACTCAATAAAAATTTTCAAATCCATTTTAGAAATTATTTAATTAACATTAATAAAATATTTAATATTTAATAATTTAGTTGGGCGGGTGTACAGTGGCTGAGTGGATTGTTGCTCAGTTCGGAGCGCCGATGCTGAGGTTCTATTCCTGTAGGAGTAAACCTGCAAAAAAATCCGGGCGATGTTGCGACTTGTTTGCGCTTCTATCGCCCAGGGCACTCCTTGGTTGTTCAGTGCGATAAGGCCGCAGCGCGAGTCTAATCGGTAAGGGTGAGGGCTCGTAGAGAAAAAAGTTTCATTTGGCATTGAAGAGCTCTTAAAATCTCGTTTTAATATACATAAATTAATGTAAATTTCAATTTAATCAGTTTTTTAAGTTTATTTCCTTTTATCGTACAAGCAAATAACTTATATGATTTGAATTATTTTAGGTCTTAAAACGAATACATAAATACGGTGTGCGATTCTGTCTGGTACTTCAGTTATTGGATTTTTTTTTGCAATGTCTGAAAGTTTTTTTTACCATTGTTTTGCCGTTGAATTTTTGCCATTTTTTAAATATTTGGTTGAACTGAAAAGAATCTAAGTAGTTTAAGTTCTGAAGTTTTGATAAATTTTATCATCTAACGAAATTCTCACGATTTTATTTTGTAAGCAGAATTTTTGTTTTGTTAATAACCATATTTAAAATTAAAATTTAAATTTAGAATCCTATTTAAAATTTATTGTAAAAATTAGTCAAATAATTTGTATACAGTATTCTAATTTTCAACCTAATTTTGAACTTTTAAGTATAAATGTCGCGCATTCCATTGCTTCTTTTCTAAAATTCTATCACCTCCCGAGAAAAAGCATAAATTTGGTTTTCCGAAGGTCATTTCTAAGGTCATTTCTTCTTTTGTCGACTTTCTGATATAGCAAATTTTTCGTATTTCGAAACTAAAGAATGGGTATATTTTATATGGAAATAAATATTAATAAATATTTTTTCTTATGATTTATTACTCAATTTAGTCGAATTATCATTGCTAATGAAATTATTTTTATATTTTTTTTACTAATTTTTGGTAATTAATAAATTTAAAAGTTAATCAATTGACCATATTGATTTTTTGTGAATTTATTTAATTTAATTGCATTAATTTAATTTAATTTTAAAAAATTGAAATAATTTGTAGAAGACAGATATGAGCAAACATGAATGGTTTTTTGTAAAAATTTCTTCAATATTTCGATAAAAATCAATGTTTTATTGTTATTGTCTATTTTGAAATGAAATATGTGCTGTTCTTCTAATTTATTTTCCAGTTTAATTTATTGAAATTTGTTTAATTTATCAAATATTTTTTCTCATTTTTATTAAAATTTTTCAAATTTTAAATTTTTATTTGATTTATTTTTTATTTAAATGCAATTTAGATTTGAATAATCAAATTTTAATTGTTTAATTATTTAATTTTATTTATCAAAAATATGCTTAAAATTTTGAGATTACGAAGTGCAGATCGACATTTTGTTACTTAAAAAATAGTGAAATGGATTGATTAACGCATTCTGTTTAATTCTTGTAGATTTCGCAAATTCTTAATATATTTTTTTACAAATATACAAATCCTTTAATTCTTTAATATTTAATATATTATTATCATTTATCATTTGATATTGATTATTATTTAAATTTTTAGTGGTTTATTTAGTTTATCAATCTGTTTAAATAACATTTTTGTAGAAAGGCGAATATCGTAGAGAACAGAAATGAAAGTATAAACGCTGAAAAATTCGAATAATCTAATTTTTAATCATTTGAAATGTAATATAATTTTTAAGTTTAATGCGATTTTATAAGGCATGAAAAAAAATTAATGCGAATAAAACTTGTTTTTTCTTTTTTTTGCAGATTTCCGCGAATTATTTACCAAATTCCAGAAAGCTTGTACGATCAGCTGTTCGAGGAAAGCTCTCTTCACTTATTTGCATCCATACATTTTTCGCTTCCGATGCTTTTTTTCATCTTTCGTTCACGCAAAAGAAATCGTTCAGACATTGGTGAAATTGCAAATTCTAAACTATTCCACTGGTTTATTTAATTTTGCTTGATTTGATTTGTTTTTGGCTGATTGCATCAATTTTTATTTGGAGAATTTCAACCAAAAAAGGAAATGTTTCCATACATTTTCATTTTTTTAATGGTTGTTATTATGTTATCAGCGTGTATGATTTTTGATTAGACTTGGTTGCATTAGGTTTATTAACCTCCGTCAACCTGACTCTGTATCTCTGAATTAGCTGAGATCCCTGGATTTTCCTCTGTCCAAGCCTGTATATTACTAGACATATAACTTATGGCCTCTCTTCGCTCTCTCTGCTCTCAAAACTTTCATAATTGCTAACTGAATTTGTCATTTCGTATCATAGTTGTGCTTCACAGTGCTATCTTCATAGAACGTGATATACACTTCAGTTTGCACACAATATTGCTTACAATTGTTTATTGTGTCGAAATAGAGAGGGCGATTCTCCTCAATGTTTCCAAATGCAAATGGTTTGTTTAAACGATACGAGAGATTTCTAATAAATTTTTTTATCTTTTCCATTCGATGAAACATTAATTTCATTTTTATTTCATGGAGAATTGTACGAGTTTTAACAATATTTGTAGAAATAGAAATTTTTATCCATTATCGAATATAATCATTTTAATTTTAAAAGGGGTTTTTTTATAAAATCGTTGTTTAATCTGACAATTTTTCATTTTTTAATTCTTTCGTTAATCTCGTTTCTTCTTCATTTAATCGTTTCAATTTCTCTTTAAGAATTATTCCATCTTGTTTAATTTTAGATTTTCATCGTCTTCTTCTTCGTAATTTGCTTTTTAAGAATTTGTTTTTCGTTTGTTTTTTTATTGAATATTTTTTGGAGATTTAAGGCAATTCAATATTATTAATATTTATTAATAATATTATTAATAATATTAATATTCAATATTATTATTAATATTTATTTTTTTATTCATTTCACATAATTTTATTCATTTATTCGATATTTTTATTCGATTAAATGAGTAATGCGATTTATATATATCAAATGGATAGAATTCATTTGAAATATTTAACCTATTTTTTGAATATTTCATTTTTTTATAGTTTTATATTCATTTATCTTCTTGTCTTTTAAAAATACATTTTCAAAAGAGATTTCGAAGGAAGCGACGAGTGTTTCGCGCATTTATCGTTTAGCGCTATTTTTTATTTAATTAGCGATATTGACGATTATATTTTTATATAATTATATTATTTTTATTTTTCAGCACGTGGTTTTTTGCTTTTATCGTGAATGCTGAAAGGACGGCGTACGCAAGTGGTTTCAACTCATCCACTTGATTCCTATGAAATTTCCGATGATCTTAATCGCCGAAAAATACAGGTATTTTATATAATTAATAAGTTTTTAAGCATTTATCGTCAATTTTTGTACATTTTTGTATTATCGTCTGCTCGAGCAGTCTCCATTTTCAGTGCTCTATTTTTCCAGCATCGTCTCTTTAACACTCTATGCCTATGGTTCTTTTCACATGGCATTTCTCATAATAAGATTTCCTTATATGAGTTTTAACAGTAGCCTCTTCAGACAGTTGGACCGAAAACTTGCTTAATTCGATAGGTTTGGCCATATGTTATTTTGAGGCAAATTTTAGCAGCATTTGGGACCATTATATACGCCGGTTGTTCCGGTTAATTTATTGAGATATATTGAAATATTTTGGTGATTTGGCCCGAAAATTTTTTAGTTTGATCTAATTGAAAGATTTCGGCGAATACTCTTCTATTATCAGTTATTTAGATCTAGAGCTGGAACCTTAACAAAGTTTGATTCATAAATGTTGAACATGTTGGACCTCCACAGAGAACAATGGTTCAGAATGGTTCAGAATATTGCAATTAACATTTTAATTTGGGCTTTAATCATTTTAATTTGATTATGAAAAACTGCACATCTGGTTAGATGTCTTTGAATGTCAGTGGTGAAAACATATATTGGTGGTGGTAAAAAGGCCATACTTATCAGTCATAGAATCTAGCATGATAGAACCTTGTCTTAGCATATAGTCCAGTCTCTGTCGGTTTTTAGACTTGGTTAGTTTTGGATAAAATCAGTTCTGGAATGGTCATCTATGCTTAGAATCGGAGCTTAGTCGACCACCGCTTTTTTTTCAAGTGGATATAGGATTATTCTCTTGTCAATAGATCTTTATGAGGGTAGAGCGGATTAAGCTCTTTTGGATTTTCGCAACCTTAGGAAGTATTATGCGTCTTGGAATACGCTAATGCCGTTTTGTTCATTCTTATCCTTAAGTATTCAGCCATTTGGCCAAAGTGATATAGGTGAATTCCAGGTGATATCCGATAATCACTTAGATTTACTCAAGTTTAATGAGAAGAAAATAGAGAATATAACAGAAGGAATCACGAATAATAGTAGAAATTTTTCAATTCACTTCATCGTAGGAGTCACTTTTAGAAAATCAATTTATCCATTATAGAACAGCCTAAGTAAATAATAAATGAATGAGGTCATAGATGAGACATTAAACATTTTTATAGGGATTCTTCCTTCCTTCATCTTTCAATTATTTGTTAGTTCTTTTTACGTGGCTGGGTGGCTGATTCTGTTTTTCTTGTATGTTTCCATGAGAAGTACAATTGCAAAATTGCAAATTCTATTAGTGGAACTAGAATCTTATTGGATGATCTCATTAAAGCACACAAGTCTTTATATGTTGTTTCAGGTGCTAGAACGACGTTATGGTGGGCGAATTCGTGCTCATACAGCAGCAACTCGTATTCAGCGTGCATTTCGACAATATCGCCTTCTTCAACAATGGCGAAATTTAATCCTTCCTCTGCGTAATAATCGCTCACAGTTCAATTTTCAATGTGATCGATTGAGGAAGCCAATTGGCTTGCGCGATTATCGTTCCTGTGGTTTGCTTAGAAATGCTATTGAGCCTTACCGAAATTTGGAGCGTAATTGCATATCGACAAGTTCGGTCAATCCAAATCGTGCATATAGGACATTAACGCGTCATAATGACCATCATTTGTATGTTTAATTTCTAATTTCCACATAATCTTTGTAAATCCTTAGTACAGTTTTATCGCTGATTGTTTAGAGCTTTTTTTTGAAAATCTGTCTTGCTGTTTTTTACTTTGTATCTTTCTAGGTTCCATCCTTCGATTTCATTATCTGCTCAACTTCGATCAGATCAATTTGAAAAAACAAATTCACCAATTTGTGGTTTAATTCGAAATCCGGTGCTGTACCCTCAAAAAGTTCAAGAAAAGCGAGCAATCGCAGAATTAATATCACCTCGGTTATCGCATCGCAGGTATGCATTTACAATTTCATTTGTACTTATTTTTCAATATTTTTCAATAGTTTTATTCAATTATTTTTGGTAAATAATAAATTTGACAACAATATTTAACTAAAAGGACTGAAAAGGTTTCATCGAATTTTCTTTTCAGAATCAAAACGGATGATGGTGAAACATCCGTTTGGGTTCCTCGTTCATCTTTTCCCACTCAACAATCGAATCACACGAATTCGTTACCTCGGCTGAATATCCAGTTGGATTTTAAGATTTTTCTTTTTGAATTTATTGTTTATTTTTGCTATTTACTATTAATTTGCTATTAAGGTAAATTAAAAAATAATAGTATAATTAAATAAATTAGAAAAATACAAAAAAATTTATAAAATCCATTATAAATAAATGGTAAAATGATATTTTGCATATTACTGTTATAATATTTCTGGAAAGAGAACCTTTTTAATGATATATTATTTTGATATTATTAATATTTTGTTTAGCATCGATTCTGCTAAAACTCATCAATCTTCTGATCAGCTTAGACGTCGTCAGTATCGAATTGCGCTCAATTTTTTCAATAAGTTTATTTTTTCTCTGATTCTTTTATTTTTTTAAATGTGAAAAAAATTTTTAGAATGGCTCCTTAAAATGGATTAATTAAAAAATAGATGACTGTAAAAACAATGCAGTAGATTTTTCTCTTACTTCGATTGGTTTACTTGCATTCGCTGTTGTAATTTAATTAATTTAGACTAAATTCCATTTGATTTTCCTAGTTGCATAATTAGGTCTTTTAAATTTATGGTCATAATGTTTTTCCAGGAAACCATCACGCGGAATTCAGTTTCTTGTAGATTGGGGCTTTGTGCAGGAAAGTGCTATAGCTGTTGCCAAATTACTTATCGGCCGTCGTGGTTTAAGCAAGCAAATGATTGGCGAATATCTTGGAAATTTGCACGATGAATTTAATTCTTATGTGTTGAAGTAAATATTTCTCTCCTATACTACGCTTTCATTTACATTTATTTTTTTTGTGTTCAGTTTAGTTTTTATCAATTTTCAACCGGAATTTTTGGAGCAAGAATTAGTGAATATTTCATTTCGAAGAAATTTAAAAAATTTATTGGCTTCTGAACAAAAAGTTATCAAATATTTCATGAATCATTGTAACATTTTCAGGTATTTTATTGATGAAATTGATTTGCATGGAATGGAAATTGATATCGCATTAAGACATACTTTGACATTCTTTCGGCTTCCTGGTGAAGCACAAAAAATTGAAAGAATAATGGAGGTAAATGCCATATATTAAAGATTCTACCAAGGTTTGCAAAATCTAATTTATTTTATCTATAGGTTTTTTCTCGCCGTTATGCATTCTGTAATCCTGATCAAGTGGCATATTTTCACAGTCCGGATACTATTTTCATTCTTGCCTTTGCCATTATTATGCTGAATACAGATCTTCATTCACATTGTATAAAACCAGCGCGAAAAATGAAATTAGATGAATTCATCAATAATTTACGAGGGATTGATGCTGGACATGACATTGATATGTATCATTTTTGAATTTTCTGTAATTGTGTCATTCAATCTTATCTACGAGGAAATTCAAAAAAACTTGAATTTCTAACTTGAACAAGTTATGAAAACAATAAAATAACGAAAATTAATTTTTTGAGTGATTATCAAAATATTCTTATAGAATTTTACTAACGCGAATTTATCAACGAATTAAAAAACATGAATTTCTACCATGTGTCGATCATGTAACTCAGGTTATCAAAGTGGATCAAAGTATTATCGGTAAAGACAAGCCGGTCAGTGTTTGATAACTTTGTTTTTCCTTATTGACAGTACGACTGAAGTACCATTTTTTCAAAAAAAATTCATTTCTTTTTGTTTCTTGTTTTGATTTTTTAGTTAGATTTTATTTTATTTTAATATTTCTTGATTTAAAATGAATTTTCCAGAAATTAGTTGAACCACAGCGTCGTCTTGTTTGCTATTGTCGTTTGAACCAGGTTATTGATTGTACGAAACGGCAGGCTGCAAATGCCCATCAGCGAGATGTATTTCTTTTCAACGATTTAATACTCGTTCGTTGTTTTTCTTTCATACATCATCGAAAATTTTCTTAAATCAAAGGGGTAATCAATTTATGAAATTCTAGTCTCGAGATTTGTTGACAGAGATATAATTCATAAAGAGATAAAGTTCATTGCGTTGCTATTCTAGAGTCCATTGTTGGGATCTTGATTCCGATAGTAAAAAAACAATTTTCAAAAATTGGTACTGATTGATTTATCTTTACTTCCATTGCCAAGTGACTTCTATCGTTGACATTAAAGCTTTTAGATTACAAAAGTTGTATCAAAAAAGAAGGTGTGTGTGCAATATTCTCTTCGATGGTGGTCATCCTTAATATCTCTGCGAATACGATCTTTCGAGTCAACAAACTGCCCTCTTGGTTTGTCTCTTCGAAGCGCTGATGGTCAGGAATTTATTTTCAACGCTAAGAATGAAGATGATAGGTATGATCACAGCTTTTGTTTTTTAAGCGGGACGAATGCTGAATTAAGAGATTATTTTCGCGAACAATTTTTTCAATTTAGACTAAGATTTATCGCGGATGTTCGTGAATCAATTTTGGAATGTTCGGAAATGGAAGCAATTAGAATTGAATATGAACTCGATAAACATTCACTATCAAGCAGAAATGGTAGTCAACGCGATTCAGGTTTGCCAGATGTAGAAGTTATTGCAGCGAATGGTAATAGCAAGAATTTTTCATCAGTGATTTCTACTGCTCGTCGTCTCAGTTTTAATTCTTTTGATAGTGGAGTAATGGAAGAAAGCAATGCCGATACTACATTGCTATATTCATAAGTTTTTTGACTTCATTTTCTGTAAAGATCAAAATTTTATTAGTGTTAATGTATAATTAAATAAAATTTTATATTTGTTAATTTATGAATTTTTTGGTTTTTTGGAACTATAATTTTCTAGTCTGATCAGTCAATAATTGATAATATAGTCCATTTTAATTTCATATTTGCAGCTTGTCTTTCACATATTTTAAATTTTTTCTGTTCTTTTTTTATAGGACATGAATACTTAATATTATTTCTATTTTACTGATAAGTAACGATCTCCTTTTTTTCTTTTCTAAGCAAGATTCGTTCAAAATATCATCTCTAATTTAAAATTTTTTTGCTTTTTTATCCTTTTTTTCCTTTTACTTTATTTTTATTTCGTCTGATTCCTCGGTTTATAGATTACTGGTGGAAATATTAATAAGAAAAGCAATTATTGTTTTGAAAATTTCTGGAAACCGGAAAGTTTTTATTTTTCTTATCCATTTTTCATCCGATCTGCTCTTTTATTATCTGAAAATTTCTTCGTTAAATATTTATAATTTGCCATATTTGATCAATTTTGTGATATATATATTTTTTAAATTCCCTGTTAAAATATGAAATTATTGTAAAATTTTAGGCTAAAATTTGTAAAATATTAAATATTAAAATATTAAATTAAATTCTTTGAAATATATTTATTATAGGCCTTTATTATTATCATTATTTTGTATTCTTTATGATGACAGCCAAATTATGCCACATTATGTGTGCCTATCATTCTGTTATTTACCTGTTTCGTTCATCAATCTTCATATCTCTGTTTTTCATCTAACTCTTTCCACATATGGCTTTCTCTTCTCTGATAAAAAAATGCAATTTTACCATTATATTGGTTTTTTCTTTGTACAGTATTATTTGCGTTGTTTTTCATTGTATTTTGTTTTCAGTATTTTGAAAGTTTTTTTATCAACTCGGCCTTATATCAATTGGTCCAATTATTAAATATTTTTTGCAGTTATTTTCTTATTTTCTGTAAAATTATTGATGCGAATTTCATTTAATTTCTTATATGTGGTCATTTCGTATGTATGGATATGATTTGTTTTTTTAACGCGAAATATAAATATTCGGTGATCGGTAAAATGAAATGAAATTATATTGGCCTCGAATTTCGCCCACTAATCTCTTGTGTTTCAAGAATTGGTGCCTTTTTTCATTCATCGACAATTTTCATTTATATTAATCATTGTTTCTCATTATTTCTCACTTATATAATAAATTAGTGCTAAATGTTGTATTTTAATGAATTATAAGTTGCTCGCTATATTTAATTTATTTTCTCTTGTGATTTTTTTTTTGCAATAAATTTTCTTATAAAAAATAGTTGCAAATGTTTTTTGGCATGCTTTTCAACATCCGTGCTTCCAACTAAATTTTATGATTTTTCGTTTTCTTAATGATAATCGATTCAATTACTTCATTTTTTGTTGAATAATTATAGTTTTATAAGAGGGAAAAATTAATTTGGATGGTTTCTTTCCGGAAATTTCCGAAAGGGAACCTCACCCATCGAATGGAAAATGGATTTATGGATTTGGTTAAGGAGAAAGGGTATAGAAGAAAATTCCAAGCTATATTCTTTTCTGTTTCTGTTCGAATTATTCGAATCATTCGATAAATTTATGCATTTTATAGTTCGTTCATGACGGAATATGAACTCGATAAGCCCTCAGCAGAACGCGATAATTCATTTTCGAAAGCAAAGGTTTTTTTGTTTTGTTTATAGTGGTTTTTTTGAATGGAAATAGAAAAATCCATAGTTTAACAAAATTCTTTATTTTTTAGAAATAAAAAATTTTAGAAATTAATTAATTTTATAAAGGGTTTGCACATTCATATTAACTGAATCGACTCTTTTTGTATTTTAAAAGTTTCATTACGCTTATTGTTAAAAAAATGATTGAATTTATAGCAAGGCTTAGCCAAAAAAATTCACATCGCTTAGAATTTTTCACTTCATAATTTTCATTCGCGAGCCAATCATTGGCAATCAAAAAGACATTTTCGGACATGTAAATTAGTAAATTAAATTATTTTTATGTTATTCGTAAGAATATTTCAAAATAATTGAAAAATAATTTGAATATTTTTGCGAATATATGATAGAATGTTGATAATTTTTGTTAATTGTTGAAACGCTATGGAATGCTATAATGATGAATTTATTAAGAAACGAGTTTTTATGAGTTTATAAAAGGGGTTATATCATTGAGAAATTACAAGTTTAACCTCGCCGTTTATAAATCTATAAATGCAGCAAATTTATGAGCGGTGAAAAATGGTACTTTCTTGTGAAATGAATCTAGTAGCGAATTAATTGGAACTCCATATTAAAAATTTAACAATTCTTTGAAAAAATTCGAAATTTTATTATATTATCCATTTTTTAATAATACTAATAATAATTTTTCAGAACGACCGGTCGAATGAATTGCGAAAAATTCACATAATTGATCGTTTAATCAACAAACATCGTGCAAAAAGAAACGAATCGCAGTCTTTAGACGTAGAAAAGAATGAAACGTTCATTGATGAAGGCGAAATGATGAAAAAAGCCCTGGAAAAGGCTGCTCGAGAAGCAATTTTACTTGAAACAAAGCGCGCTGCCATTAGGTCTCGATCTATGGGCGCTCAGGGGTGGTAAGCGATTGATTGTGTCTAATACTACTGATAATCGAATAGGACCATTTTTTGCGGCATTATGTTCATTTTTCTTCATGACAATGTGGGGCCTTTATTTCTATTATAGCTTTTTCACTGTAAAAAATAGGCAAATTTTATTTTAGGAGGAAACCAGAATGCCTTTCGACAAATAAAGTATTCTTAAGGAGATTTTTAAAATCGACATTACCGAGGCCGCAACGGAAGCCGAATAAATAATTCAGCTTTTTTTCTGGGTATTTCTCCCTGGGTATTGGGTATTGATAAAATGATAAAGTATTTTTGTATTACTTGTGAAACAAATTTTTATATTTTTTAGGTTGACTAATAAAATACTGAATATATGGTCAGTTATGAAAGAACTGTAATATATTTAAATTTATGCCAAAGTTAATTTATTGCATTAGAAGCACAAGGCATTAGCGAAGGTTAATATAATTTGTAAAATAATATAAAGAAATATTGTGCGTATATGATCAAAAGAAGATGGTGGTTGACCATTAACACGAATCCCTTGTCCAATATCTGAAAAGGTTTCGATAAAAAATCGAAGACGAAAATCAAGAAGCGGAGCTTAGCAAATTTGCAAGTATAGCAGGAGGATTATTATTGTTCGCACCAGAATCTCATTAATTCGCAGTCATTCGTGAAAAGGTCTGTGCCGGTCATCAGCGTTTCGATGAGATTTTAATGCTGTTCCATGACCGATGTTTGGCGGTTGATTTTGATTAATACGTCGATCAACTCTTTCTTTATTGTAATAAGCACCTTGACCAATGTCCGATCGTCTATGAGCATTCGCACCTTGACCGATGTCCAGCATGCCATTCATACTAGCGGACTCATCATTTGTATTGGTGCCTTGGCCAATGTCGAGAGAGTCGTCAATTTCCCGATCGATATTTACTCCAGAGCCAATATTCTGATTCAAATCAGGCCATTTGTATCTTTCACCATTGAAATTTTGGTCTGAAAGTATAGAAAATAATGTAACTTGAATAATAATAGTAGATATCGAACTTGAAGATTATAAAATGAGCAAAATTCACTTAAACTTACGGTCAGTCGTCATTCTCAATCTCGTAGTCTTCTAATAGAAGCTTGGAAGCTTGAGGGTTCTGCAAAATAAGCTTAGCTGTTCCTAGAAGTGCGTTTTTTGGACAAAAATCTCTAATGTTATTATTAGAATCTATTTGAGCTACTTTTCTATTTTATCTTTCTATCCTGGGATGTCCCTGGCACCACTGGGACTACCGTGGCCTTTAGCATTCACTTTCCCATCTTCTTAATTCTTCTTCCAGCCCGTGGTATTTCTCTAGCTTCCCCTTTCACTATTTTGCTATATTGTATCTATCACCAGCGTTGATCCTTGATTCTTATCTACAACTTCGACATATATAGTTAGATTGGCTCCATTGTCTGCTGAGATGAATAATCAATTAAAGAATGAGTCTCTACCTTAATTTTACATTTAATTTACTCCAGTTAAGAAACAGAGGTCAAAGGCCTATAACGGTTTGGCCTTAGTTAATGCGATATCACTTGACCACTTTGTTGCTTATATAAATTGGAATACCTTGAGCAGAATTACAAGCGTCAGTATAACACATATGACACTGATGGTGTGGAACATTTATACTGCTGCAATGCGTTACACATCCTTTCTGAATTACTGAAAAATTGCTGTAAGGCCTTCGTTGGAAATAATTTCTTTTTTCTAGATTGGCTAGAGAATCGCCAGCCTAGTTCGGATTTCGAAAGGCATACTGGTCACTGTCGAGTAGAACTCCAGCACTGGGTACTTCGTTATAAAGCAACAAGCCACTAAGCTATTATATCTCAAGGATGCAGGGATTTCTAAGTGTTAATTATATGAAACTATTCGAGATATTGAATTGATTACAAATGATTAAAATATATGCAAATCAACGGGAAACAGGTTTGTTTTTGAATCCGAAATAAGAGCTGCAAAAATAATTCATTTTTTAGAATTAAAATAGAAATTTTTTAGAATACATTTAGGCTTTAGATTTAATGCTAAGTTTTCTATATTTATCTGTAAAATTTGAAATTTTATAAAGAATCATTGTAAATTTTTTGTAAATTTTAATAAGTAAACTTTTTAATTTTAATTTTAATTTTAAACGCACATCTTTCTCCATCTTCTGCATAATAACAATATGTTGAAGGTGGACAAACTTCGATGACAGGCCACTGGCATCCTTGACGACCCGTGCAAGTATAACATCTCAATGCATGAACTGAATATTTTTACAGGTTTTTAAGGAAGAAAACCAAGTCTACATTAAAGAACTGAATTATAAAAATAAAAATTCATAAAATCAGTTGGAAATTACTCTATTTAATATTTTTTAAAATAACAAATAATAAAAAGTGAACAAAATAAATGCTGAAGATCAATGCTGAAACTGATCTTGCTATTGGCAAATCTTGCCTATGGTGATCAGCTAATAAGATTCTGGTTAGTCAAGCACCGCTGGATCTTAATACAGTTAATGGAAATATTTATTTGGAATCGGAGCTAAACGATTAGAGATTAGATGCAATTCAGCGCCCGAACTACCCGATCTTTTAAAGATATGCTTCTATCTGAATTCTCGTCATTCAATACTATAATTTGAGTTGCTATGTTATCTTCTCGGCTATCTTCAGCTAATTGAATTCAATACTGAGCTTTTTTAAGGTGCAAAAATAGTTTTAGGTTATATAAGATTTGATTTGGTACCTAATCATGCGAACTGTGAATGAGTGCCCCTCATCTTAAATAGCAGAGCCACAGAGCAGCTTAACCAAAAGCAACGAAAACGCTTAATCCGCTAATGCATCCAATTATTTAGAAATCACTAAAATATCAATTCTAAATATTCACAACAACAAACTTACCACTAATAATTGTTGCAGCAAATAAAAGAACCAAATGCATTATAAACGATGGTGAAATAATAATTTAATCAGTATTTGATAAGGACAAATACAAAATCATCGGTTCTTATCAGTAAATGAAAGTTTTTTTTCCATTATTAATGTAGTATATTTTACATAAATATAACCAAATGTCCACACTCCTTAGCAACTAAAAATGCTTTTATTTAGGCATTTTAAATTTCATAGCCATCGGTTTTATGCTAAGAAAAAAAATAAAGAACTGTAACGATGTAAACGATATAACTAATAAAAAAAACAAAATAAATTAGATGAATCAATAAATGAGATGGAAAAATTATAAATGGTCAAAATAAGATAAATAAAGAATACCCAAATAAAAATCAATTGAAACAACATAAAAGTTATATGAAACATTTTTTTCCACACTGAGACATAAAATCAGATTTAAAGGCAATGATAGCAGAAGAAATCTGAACAAAGGCCAATTAACATCGAGAGAAAAAGCCGGGAGATAATTAGAAAACAGAAACACTTTGAAACAGCAGAAGATGACAGAAAATCATATTTATAATTATAAAACAACCAAATTACCCAAAATAATCACAATGAAAAACAGAAAAATTTTAGATGACAAATCGTTTTAGAATAAGACAAATTATATTCAAAGACTGTAATAAATAAATTAATTAATCGTAAGGCATGGCAATTCACCAAAAACCTTCAACCATTTGAACATAAATTCCGTTTATTAAAAAAAATATAGAAATAGAGAATTTTTTTCTTATTTCCATCAATAAAAAAAGGTGGAAATCTGTGGTTTAAAAATATGAATACATAATTATTTGAGAACTATGCACTTGAAAATCACTTAATTTGGCCAAGTTCTATTATTTAGCACAAATTTTTGTAAGACAAAATACAATAGCAACGCAATAATCAGTTGACACATTCCTCGTCATCAGTTACTGCTTGGCCAAGATCGACGAGCCTTTGTCTATACTGGCTGATTTTCAGGTCTTGGTCAGCAAGTAGAACAAGCAAATCTTCTTGTTCTTTCTTCAAAGATATTAATTCTTCCGAATTATTCACCTGAAACGAATCTCATAAATGAAACTAATAAAAAGGAAGAAAAATTTAGAATGATAATGGAAAACCAGTTAAGACAAACTGCAAATGGAAAAAAAAATCGAATAAAATTTACTTCAACAGATTTATGCCCAGAATTAAATAAATTTAACTGTTGAACAGCAGTAGCTAACTGATCTTGTAATGATTTAATTTGAGCCTTTAATTCATAGCATTCATTCACTGATTGAACAAGAGAGGATGTTTGAGCTTCATACATTTGCCATCCATAATTAAGCTGCTCCTCTAACTCTTTCACTTGCATATTTAGCTGATTCACGACAGTGTCTTGTGGATTTGGTAACTAGAAAGCAGTATAGTTAAAGCTGATAAATTTCTGATGGAAATCAATAAAAATGAACAGTAAATGAAATATTTATATGAAAAATGTAAAAATATAAAATGTTACCTGAGATATCTGATATTCCTGCCATTGTTCAGCCCACTGTTGATAACGTTGAGTATAAGCCTGCCATTGAGAAACTATGCTAAATAATTCAAGATCCGAAGCATTAAAAAATTATGCCGAAAGAAAATAATCAAAAAATTTATTTTAAATTATAGCCAAAAAATTTCCGAAAAAACAGCTTTGGATAAAAATAAACTTTTGATAATGCTCAGTAGCGAATCGATCGATTTCCTTCTTATGATCATCTAATGTACACTTTTCAGCCAATTCTTTGCCAGAAATAACCTCATTGTGATAACTTTTACCATTAACTTTCTGAAATAAATCAATTTAAGAAAATCATTTTAGAAAAAATAAGCAGGAAAAATGGAATTCCAACACATTTTTCCAAGATATCTCGCACAAATTCAAGTCTGATATTTGTGCTTTTTCCTTCTTAATAATTCAAAAAAATACAACAAAAGCAACAAAAAATTGTACATTCGAACTTAGCTCATCATTTAGTTTCTTTAATTGTTGGTTGAGGTCAGCAATGGTTTCATCTTGCCTTTTGATTAACTCTTTGAATGATGCAACTACACTACCAGTGGCCCCGTTCATTTCAGATGAAGTAGACTCAAATTCAGGACGAAGAAGCTTCGTTAATTGACCTATATTCGTTATTTTTTATTATAATCAATAAGCCATTAAAAGAAGATTTATTTATAAGCCATAAAATATATCTTATTTTCAAATGTGTATGACCTGCTGATATTCTTAAAAATACCTTCAAGGACTTTAAAAAATTTAGAGAACTGATAATCGAGGATCAGTTCTTGAGAAGACTTTGCTAATGGTTGCGGCCGTTGAGCAGCTCGTACATAATGTTCACTACGCGATATTTCTTCGAACAATTCAATCAATTTTATTTTACCAATACGGCGTTCAACTAATAGATTTATTGAATTTCTAAAATTCTAAGTATTATAAAAAAAATTTTAGAGAATGGAGGATATAGGCAAATTACTGATTACTGCAAATTTGAACTTAAATATTTCAACTGAATTAGGGCAATTCGTTTGCCACTTTTTATACCAAAATGATGATGACAGGAAAGAGTCGCTGCATCTATTATGAATAACCGATGCTGGATTAAGAACTATTACTTCTGGCAGGGATAAACATCTTTCGAAAGTCCAGGTGGTGCTGACAAACCAACTATATAAACTCGTCGAATGAGAGCTTTTCTGACCCAGCAAGCCTGTATCTAACCAGGAATAGCAAACGCTCTTAGAAAAATGGGAATGAAAACGAAAGCAAGTATTACTTTGTGGCATCATTCTGGTCACCATGCATCATACATATTGTCAATACAACAGCCATCAATCCTTTAACCACTTGATTCTCACTTTCCGTTCCTTCAACACCACAATCATCTACAAATTAATATTCGAAATTTTCATGATTAATAATTTCAAGATTTTATTAATGCAAAATAAAACATACCAATGTAAGTGGTAAGATATTGAATATTTTCGTCAACCTGGAGAAAATGTGATATAACCAATGGTGAATTGCAAAGCCAAACAGATAAAAGCATGAGTAATCCGATTCGCACTTGTGGCTTCCGATTTCCCAAAGAAACCTTTAAAAATTTAAAAATTATATGCGAAAGATTCGAAGATACAACATCCTTCATCATACCATGACAATTGTAACTGCAAAAACAAACAACAAAACAATGAATTTTAACAAATCAGAAAACTATTCATTGATGAATCCCAAAGTTTATGAAAGATAATTACCAGCAAGCTTCCAACGTGCTGCAGTAGTGACGATGGTACATCAGTAACTGTAGTCGACAATTGTACTCTCAAAAGTTGTTGTTTGAGATGGTCGACATCAAGTATGCAATGCATAAGGCACACGCATCCCATCCATACCTTATATGAAAAAAATGATATTTGCAAATCTCTACTCAAAAATTCAAATAGATAAAAAAGAATATTAAAAAGCGCACCTGTATTCCCTCAGAACTAAGTATAGCAGAACATATACACTGGCCAGTAGTGACCTCAGATTCATTTGTTGAATTAGCAGGTAAAAGAGTATCTATCGTCTAAAAAATTGCAATTCATTCAATAATTAATGAAACAGAATCAACGCATAAGCGAAAATTCAATAAGTATTTAATATTTTAAAAATATTTTCTATACAATATAATATAATATTATAAAAAATTTAAGTAATATTTTAAATATTTTAACTTTAAAAATAATTGGAATATTGAATAAAAGCACTATTATTAAAGTATAACGCAGTGATTTAATCATTAATAAAGAATATTACTTATTTAATAATAATTACACTTATTGTCGCATTTATGAACAATCAAATAAACAAATATCTTAATTTACACAAGAGTTATAAATCTTACAGCACATCATATAAAAAAATATAAAACAATAGAACTGTCGACAATAGTTACCTTTGTTTTACCGAATTCATTTTCATGCAGATATGACAAAAAACAATAAAAGACGGCACAACGAAGCTTAAATGGTTGCTTTTCAGTTGTCATCGACATTAACAGAACAATAAGTGATGGCCTAAAGCGTAAGACACTTTTTGTCAAAAAGAAGCTAGGACATTTTGAAAATTATATCGTAAATGATATATTAAAAAATTTACCTCGTACCAGCTGTGGTCATTAAAGAACGTGAAGCAAAATATTCTTGATTAGCGTAATTTCCTCGTATTATTTCGGCAACGGCTGTTACAGTCTCCGTTAATATATCAACAGATAGTCCTAATTCAGATAGTAACACATCACAAAGTTCGCTTAAAATCCCTGTAAAAGGTTTATGGAAATTACTTTGTTGGGGAAATTTCAAAATTTGAGCATTTCATTTGCCATATTTCGCTTTCTTCAGCAACGGCTGTTATAATTTCTGTTAATATATCAACAGACAGATAATAAAAATTAAAAGAACCTGATCTATTTATTGTTTTCTGTGCAATTGACACAGTGGATTGAGCGTTTTCTGACGGAGAGACTAAACTACGAATGACTTGGAGCAAAAAAATTAAGTTAGCAATTTTTTGCCTAGGCCACTCAGATTCTTGATTTCCATCTGTTTCATCTTCGCGCCCATAAAAAAATAAGTGCAGTAATACGGAAAGACGCTGTACCAAACTGTAATATTTGTTAAATCAATAATGAAAGTAAAAATTACGTATAAACAAATCTAATGCAACCAGAACATAAATACATATATAACACATCCAGATAACAATACCTAGAAAAACAATACCTAGCTTCTCGAAATAACTCTTGGTTGCTCGAATTTTTACGAAGCAAATTCAGTATAACAAAAAGACAATCCTCGATGACGATACCTGAATAATGAACAAAAATTCAAAAGAAATGACATCAAATGGAATGTAAAAAATATTGCCGGTGAAAAAATAAAGAAAAAATGAGTATGAGTATTTATGAGTACAAGTGCAATATATATGAATAATTTGTAAATAGCTTATTATAAAAACTATAGAATACTTTAAACGTATGAAGAATATACGGGAATTGCTATTATTTTTGTCCTTTTTTTTTAAAGACTTTAGGATAATCGTTCAATCTGATGTGGTAAGAACAAGCAAGAAGAATATTTAAGTAAATTAAATTACTTTCAACGGGTTCGAGGTCAATAATATCTAGAAGAAGCTGAAAAGTATTTTCATAAGCCAAGAGTTGCTGAATTTGCGAATTACTACGACTTAATTCGCCCAACATTAATACTGCATTATTTCTTATTATCTGAAACTCGATACAAAAAAGTTAAAAAATTACAGCACAATGTAAATAATCAAAAAATAATAATAAAAATCGCCTAAATAAAAATCAAAATACTTCTCTGGTATCATACAAAAGTTGGAGAAGCCGAGATACACCTACTGGTTGTTCAATAACCATTGCTTGCACTTCACTAGCCCGATGTCTTAGTAATGCTGTTAAAAGTTGTATTGCTGCTCTAAAAAAAAAAAACTGGAAGATGAAAGGAACGATAATAAATGATAAAAATTTCATATAAAAATATCATTAAACTTCTGGAAATGCAAAATGAAATGACTTCCCAAAAGAAATAAAAAAAATAAAATTCATTAAAACAATACATCAACAATTCACTAAAACAATACATAAAAACAATATCACTAAAACAAATGATTTAAAAAAATGTTACTTAAATTCCAAAGAATTTTGCAAAAAAATTTATCAAATTTTTTTAAAATAATTTTCAAAAACTAAGAGCAATTTTTTTCGGAAAAAATCAATCGGTTTTTTCAAGAAATTTTTATAATTTCTCCGTAGAATTTTTCTCAGAAAATTAAATTTAAATCTAATAAAAAAATCTACAAAATTTGCAAATAGCATTATAAAAGAAACGAACCTACGAACATTGAAATCATACGATTCAATTAGTGCAATCACTGATGGGATAAATTTTTTCTTACGAACGATTATTTCGGCAAGACGTTCACTAATTTCGTCATTACCTTGAAATTTATCCTCGATAAATCCTTCATTAAAATCACGAATTATACTTCGAAATGGATAGAATGAGAAAAAAAAAGTGAATTCTCCTATTTTTTGGTACTTTTCGAATGGACAAAAAAAGGAATGCATTCGACGAACCTTCTTCAGAATCCTCATCATCGCTTACAACAGCAACAAGAATTTCTAACGTAATAGCAACGATATCTGGACTAAGACTCTCTTTTTCGAGTATATCCATATACGCATTCATACCAATCGTTGCTACTGGCAAACGCATTTTCTAAAAATTTGAAGCAAATAAATTTTAAACAATAAATAAGCTTTATCCTCATGAATGATTGATAATTTCGAAAATTTTTACCTCAAAAAAAAAAAAAAAAATTCCAAAAAGAAACGACTTCTATCTTTCATTTTTTATCATATAATTTTCTCATTGAAAATCCATACCAATTAATTTTACTCGCCTTGAAAATTTTATAATTTTATAATTTTATAAAATTTTAAAATTTTATAATTTTTTTTTCTCGCTATACTCCTTTCTGCGAATAAGAAGATTAGATAAAAGAAAAACTGTCCTTCTTAATTAATTAACAATTTTCGTTTATTTAATAAAATATTTCTCAATTTTTTAATAATATAATAGTAATAAGCAACAAAAATTAATAATAATTAATAAAAATAATTAATAATTAATATTAAAAACTGACAATAAAATAAATAATATTAGCTAATAGTTAATAATAATTAATAAAAATAAATATTAAAATATTAAAATAATAATTAATAAAAATAAATATTAAATATTAAATATTAAAATATGGAGACTTTAGCGAGTGAACGTAAAGCTTTTAAAGCATCTCGTCGATCATCAAGTGCTGTTGAAGTTTCAACTCGTTCCACTAAATTTTCAATAATTTCTGCCGCATTATTCGCTAAATCTCGACTTTTATCGTTTTGTCCACCAAATAAATTACGAAAATATGCCATCGCCTCTAAATTATAAATAATTTTTATCAAAAATTATTTCAATTATTGCTAACTGATCAAATATCAGTAGACCGCACATTGGAGATAAATGATTTTGAGTATCGCTGATTAGGTATCGCTGATATTTGCACTGGTGATAAGGAGCTACACAGGAGTGATACAGCGATTGTTTCAGGGTTTCAAAGAATCAGAGAGCCTTAGAGCAATTTTCATTTTTTCATATCTGATGGTAAATTTCCAACGAATGACATAAACGAATGAATATAAATTTCTTTCTACGAAATCTCACCACTAATGCTAATAATGCTAACGCTAATGCTAAGATCCAATGACCACTTAAAGATGTGAAACCTGGATCCTGGGATGGAGTGGCACAGGGACGTCTATTTCCCCTCCCCCCCCCCTCCCGCCCTCCCCTACTGCAACTATTTGGATTTCACTAATAGTTATTAATAGTTTTTAAAAAATTGCAACCACAGTTTATTAAATTAACGAAAAATGGTGGAAAAAATTATCCTTAAATTATTAATTGTTATTCTATCCTAAACGAGGATGAAACCAGGAATCCCTCGCTACCACCCAATCAATTTCAAACCCGCGTTTGCAATGTTGCAAAACGAATGGATTTTGAGCTGTAAGAATAGGGGAGTTCGTCGCTGTAAGTTACCTCGAGTTTTGGCTCTAATCCAGTATTTATTTTAAAAAACTACTTCATGGTGGCGAATCTGGTGCGGGGATTTTTCGTGGGAAAGCCTATGGGAAAGAAGGGTTTCCTTTGGGTATCTTAGAAATATAATTTAATTAACGATGATGAGTTTGAAGGGTGGAAAATAAATAGATTTAATAGGTTTTTCATAAATGAAATTTTTTAATTCGAAATAAAAATTATAGTTTTATTGGTGTGAAAATGGAATAATTACGAATAAGGTGCGACACAAATGAGAACAATAAAACACATTTCGTTTCATTTTTCATGAAAATTTGACGATGGAAAAATATATATTTTTGACCGTTGATTTTTTATCTTTTGTTCTACAGAAATTCTTTTCAAAAATTCATTATCGCTAATATTTTTTGTATAAAATAAAATATTTTCCTTTCCATTTTTTTTGAATTTTCTAATTTTTTGAAGAGTAATTTATTTGCAGCGAATAAAAAATGCTTATTCCACCTGATTTCAATCAAATTTTCACTCGTACTAAGAGTGTTTTCATTTCGAAAACGTTTTTTCGAGAAATTATTCCATTATCACTTCGCAATGAATTGCCAGATACAAAGCATAGACCGAACGGTTTGTCATCTTTCACATTTTTATTTGCGTTTAGGAATACTGGCGTTGAATAAGTCTTTATGAACTGTGATAACTATATTGTGATAACGACGAAGAAGACTTTTGACGATAGCAGTTTCCCAATTTTCCAATAAGTATAATGTGGACGAGCGATCAAATGAATATAGACGTAAAATAACGTGAAGGATCGAGCTGTTACTGGCGACCCACGTGCACTTCTATCGCCAAGAGACCCTGGCTTATTTATCCAGTGCAATAAGCCAGCAAAGCGAGTCTAACCAGTAACCAGTGGTGAAGGATGTTAAAAAAGAAAAAGATATGATATAATTGAAGATAAAATGGCTCAGTGGGTTGTTACTCAGTTGGAAGCGCCGATGTTCTGAGGTTCTATTCTCCGCAGAAGTAAACATATACAAAAATCCGGGTCATACTGGCGACTCACCTATATTTCTATCGTCAAAGGGACTCCATATTGCAACAACAGTGCGACAAGCCAGTGGAGCGAGTTTAATCAGTAATGGTGAAAACTCTTTGAAAAAAATGATATAATTAACCAGCTTACTTGAAAATATTATAAATATTAATATAACATACAAATATTGCTTGTAATATTCATAAAAAGCCTGGTAATTCCCAATAATTCTTTATCTTCAGGACGTGGTGCTTTATTTGGTTTTAGTGGTAGAAATAATTGCAGAAGCAAGTTTAGAGTTAGAGCTTCGTATCCTGCATTAAAAAAGTAAAAAAATCTGCCATTAAAAATTCACATACCTAACAAAAATTTTTAACCGTCTTAATAGCCCGCAGGGCTGGGAACCAACCAGAAATAGTGAATCCTAACCATTTACTTTCTTTCTTATTAGAGCAAAGGCTAGGTATATTTCGATATATTTAGATTATGTCACAAGAAATATAATTGATTATGGATGAAATAATTAGTTCTTTCAATTGCTTTTTGCTAATCTAATTTAATCGGTTTTTTCAGTGTCTTCTTGCTCGGAAGAATTACAGTTGTTATTTCAATGTTTGAGAAAATGGGAATTTGATGATTTACATTGCAAAAGTCAGCATAAAGCGTATTTTGATTGTACAGCATCTGCAGCCTTGACTCTTCAACAATTTAAAATGGCTGCTCGAGACGTAAGATTTAATGGCTTTTCCTGAATTTTCTCTTTATTCCATTTTTTGGCAGAAATAGAATTTTGAGCAAGATTCAGTATTTAGTATTTAAAATTAGTAATATGATTTGAGAGCTTAATTTTTTATGAAATATTCGGAATTTTTGATTATTTGGCATTAAATTCCAAGCATTAGCTGTGAGACTGAACTATTTCACAAATAGTTTGGAGATTCGTAATATCCTCTTTAATATTTGAATATAATAACCAGTAATTGTATGATTTTTTCAGTAATTCAACCGTTGTTAGCATACCACAAATTTGTGAAAATTACAGGGAACCTTGGGTGAATCGAAAATGCATGAAAGTGGCGCTTCTGTGGCGCAGATAAATCGATTAATGACACTATTCCCGCAACCTGGACTTGGAAAACGCCCTTATCGAAAAATGAAGCGCTTACCAGACCAATCATATGCTGATGACATATTTCATCGGCAAAATAAAGAGGGAAAGAGAAGCTAGTCGCTGTAAATATTTTATTTGTTTTTTATGTTTTATTATTTTATTGTATTACTATTGTATTATTTATTTTATTTGTATTGGAGAATAAAATAATTTTATATATCATTGTTTTTTATTCTTGATTGGGAATTCTAACCTGGCAACATTTTTTTTAATTCACTGAATTTTTGTGGTTTTTACGCATTGGATTTTTTTGATTGCGATTTTTTCAATATCCCTTAAGCTTGAATCTTTTTCCTTTTTCCTATCTACAGTTTTTTTTCCTGAGTCCAACCTGACCAGTGTTTTTCATTAGCCCTTAAAAAATTTTATAAAATTCTTTGATTAATAGGATAAAGGAAGAAAAAGTATGTTTTCGTGGATATCTACAACAATTTTTATTATTAAAGATGTTGCTGATTTAGGTATTTGGCAAACAAAATTTTCCGAATTCTCAGAGTATTTTTTGATTCTGATTTTTTTTGGCAAATGTTCTATAAACAGTGCAGAAGCGTTGGCAGATTTTATGGATTATTAACGACGGGAAAGAATAGTGAATTTTTGCGACTTTTACCAACAATTTTTGATATCGCGAGAAATGATCGAGCAAAAGCGAAAGATCTTCCATATATACAAGAAATTATGGAACGAAACAAAATATTTGTTGCCAAAAGTAATGAACTCGACCAGTTGCAAGCATTCGCTAAAGGTGAATTGGGTTTGGGTTCTACTTCTACTAATATCAAAATTTTTCAGTAGCTCAATATGAAATGATTCTTATCAGCTGATAATTGAAAGCTTATCAGCTGATAATTGAAAATGAAAATTCTCTTATTTTATTTTTAGATAACGAAGTTGAGCTAAAAGCGATGATTGATGAAGAAATTGCATTACTAGAAAAACAACTTGAAACGTTGAGCAAACAATTGATATATGCGATTGTTCAAGAAACTGAATTCGATCTTTTCAATAAATGTCAGATGGAATTTTCGCCGTAGGTTATATTTTTGAAATGGTATTGAACAAACAACTGTTGAACTATTCGGTGTGAATGCTGGCTTTTTGCATCTGAAATACCCTCTATCTTCAAATGATGAAAAAATGATCGAAAAAATCTTTCCTTATTAGTCTAAAAGTGGCCACAAATGGAAGGAAAAATGACAAGGAAAGATTGACAAATAGCATGGATGATTTTTTCTTCTGTAAATTTTAAACTTTTTCAATGTTCAAAGTACCATTGAGCCATAATTTTAGAGGTGTTGGCGGAACAGAAGCAACGTTATTTACTTTTGAACTACTTGAAATGTATAAAAAATTCGTTGGAAATAAAGGATGGACATGGAATTTGTTGCAAGGCAATCTTGAAGGTTAGTCAAATAATTTGAATTTTATGAGAAATTGAGAAAAATTGAGAGAAATTAAGAAAAGCTAGGAGATTGATAATTATTACTAAAGCAAATTAAAATTGTTCAATATATTTTGCAGAAGGAAGAGCATTGATAGGCATAACTGGTGAAAAATGTTATCAGGCTCTTCGGAATGAAGCAGGAATTCATCGGGTACAAAGGACACCAGTTACTGATAAATCTCGTGTGCATACAAGCACCTCAAGCGTAGTTGTATTGCCAGAACCTGAGCAAGTAATACTTTCTTTCTCTGAAATTTAGTTCGACTCCACTTCGACATCTAATTCGAGCTTAATTGCAATTATACAGGTCGAGGCATATATCAAACCAGGCGATTATAAATTGGAAACAATGCGAGCTTCGGGTCCCGGTGGTCAGAATGTTAATAAACGGTCTAGTGCCGTTCGTCTTACTCATTTGTCAACTGGTCTCTCTGTAAAAGTAATGGATGAGAGATTTCAGCATCTTAATATGAAGGTTTCTTTATATAATTCAACGTATAATTCATAAAAATTATTCTTTAAAACAATTTCTTCGTTATTTATTTGTTTAGATTGCATTTCAACGATTAAGTGCAATTTTATTGCAATATAAAATTGACGAAATGGAAGAGAAGGTTTCTCAATCCAGGAAAATTCAGGTTTTTTCCCATTTTTCCATTTCTTGGCTTTTTTCTTCCTTATTTCTTCTTATTTTCATTTTTTTATAGTGTATGATTTTTATATTTTTTAAGGTGGGAAGTAAAGCGAGAGCAGAAAAAATAAGAACATATAATTTTAAAGACGATCGTATAACCGATCATCGATTAAGAAGATCGTGGACAGGGATGACGGATATGTTAAAAGATGCGCAACTGCTTAACGTAATTATAAATGCAATTGAAGAAGAAAAAAATGTTGAACGCTTAACCGAATCAACTGAATTAATCCTCAAGAAATATAATCTCTTAAATAACAATTATTTATCTTTAGAAAGTAATTAAATCATCCATTAATTTAGAAATAAGTTTTTTTAAAATTTTTTTTAAATATTTACTTTCCTTATTCCTTTCTTTTATAAATTTATTTTTATAAATATTTATAAATATATAAATAAATTTCCTCAAAAATTAATTCCTTCATTTAATTGTGAAAGAATTAACTTAAATAAGAGTTTCAACAAACTAAAAACGAGACTTGAATTTAAGTAATAGCTTTCATCCTAATTTTTACAAATATTTTTTAAAAAATCTTTATGTCCCTTTCCTTTCGTTTTTGCAATACTTCGAAATTTGAAGTGCATTTCTTTTTAAACTTATTACTTTTATGATATAAATTTCAGCCAATCACTACAGAATGCAGCCTACTTAGTGATCGTGTAAAAGGATTTTTAGTTATTTATGCTCGCTCCAGCGTATTATGAGAAAATCTTGCGAATTAGATGTTATCAGCATCGGACGGTATGGGATGGTATATTTAGTAATCTCAAGAGTAGAGATCGAATCATATTCGTTAGAATGATAGCCAGTGTATATTACGTCGTACTTCCTATAGAATATTATTGAATTAATATGCTTTAATTATAAATTAATAGATTAATGGATCAATGGTGAATTCAAAAGACTGAAATTTTTACAAGTTATTGTAATTGCTAACTCTATGTAAGCGTTTCTCATTCAAATTCAACCTATTCTTCGTCGGTATCAATGAGAAATTTTGAGAAATGAATGATAAAATATCTAAATTGGAACAAAAAAGTTCAAAAATCTATTTTCCCAACAAAATTTTTTAATATTTAAAATGAAAAAAACGTCAACATAAAATTTTAATTAATTCTTAATTTATTTTTAATCTTAATAAATTTAATAAATTGAATTATTAAAAAAATAATTATAAGAAAAATACCATTAAAAAAGTATTAAGTATACGAGGATATTAATCTAAAGCTCATTTTTTTTTTGAAAAATAATCAACAACTATTGAGGAAAATTTAAGGAATGAGACTATATTTAATAAAAAAAATAAATTCTACGTATTTTGAATATATACACACATTGATATTGCATGATCAATATAAAAAAAGGCAAATTCAGTTTTCACAATTTTTTTTTTCAAGAAGCAGCTTTCCATAATTGAGGAGAAAATTTAGAAGCTGAGTTATACTATATACTCGATTGAATTTGATTAATAAATAGATCATAAACGGTTCATCCTGAAAATTTAAAATTTAAATGAAAAATACAAAAAATGATTTTAAGAATGAAAAACATTTATGAATATGGTTATTAGCCAAGCTTGATTGGAGTTTAAATATAGAAAAATTGTATACTGATAAATATAGAAAAGGAATAAATTAAAATAAAGAAAATGGAGATATACTAAAGGAAGATACCCGGTGAGAGAACCATTGTGGACGGATGCTATGCCAGAAACATCATCCTCTGAATCTTCCTCGTCATTATTAGCAATAAGCGCTTCATGAAGAGATTTGATTCGTTTTTGGGCTATTTTCAATTCGCTATTCATATTGTTCAATTGAATTTCATTCCGCTCAGCTTCTGCAACCTTTAAAAAAACGTTGGAAATTGGTGCAGAATAGCCAAGTGGCATGTTATAAAATTAAACATGATCCAATTTTTAGACCATCATGGAAGTAAATCTATTCCATTACATGTGAAATTCGAGTGATACTTCCTATCCTAAGTGACGTGACTTTTTATCGAAATATTTTGCTATTAGCAATGGAGCCAACCAAACAAAAAATGGGTAAGATTAACAAGTTCTTAGGGTAACGATTAGAAAATTTTTAAACTAGTCCAAGACTGACACTCTGTTTGTATTTATGAAGTAATTCCGTTTCTCGTCGACGCATATCCTGGAGCTGCTCTTGAAAAATACGAGATTCCTTCTCAGCTTTGCGAGTTGCATCGATTTCTTTATCTCGAACGATGGCTGCTTCATTTAATTGGTCATGCATTGATTCCAATTCATCTTTTGCTTTCGCTAATAATGACTGAATAATTTCGATTATTATAAATAAAAGAATAAAAATTGAAGTTTAATCCTTAAAAAATCTGTAATTCGAAAAAAACCCATCAGTGTTCTGCAAAATCTGAAACTGTTAAAAGAATATAACGAGTTTTTAGGACATGACAAGAAACACAATAGGATTTGAAAATAATTCTGCCCATTTTTCGGACGGGTATTTTTTGAGTATTTTTTTATTTGTTAATCTTAATGGTTTTTCTTAATTTTTTAAACATACGTCAAGCCTAATCCTCTGCATCGTTTCAACGTCCAATTTTGCCTCTAAATCTCGAATTTTTTGTTCTGCGAGCAGTAATTTGTGTTTTTCAACTGAATGATGTTGGTGAAATTCTAACGATGATGTAGTTGTATTCAGTTCTTCGCGCAATTTCTCTTTTTCTTTTTCCAGTTCTGCCATCTGAGAAAAAATAAACTCTTTCAAAATTTTCCCACTAAAGGATTTAATAGAAATTGTTATCTTAAATCAACGAAAAAAAAATGAAAAAATAAAAGAAGCATCGGAAAGAAACCTGTTCATACTGGTCAGCCATCTTGATTGAATCGACGGCATTTTGTTGAACAGCAGCTTTGTATTTTTTCATAACCGCTTGTAATTGTTCATCATGTTCTTCGACTAATGCCAGAGCGCTATTCTTCTCTTTGAGTAAATTTAATGCCTTTTCTTCTGCTGCATTTTTGCCGGTCAAAGCAGCTTCCAACTAAAATAATAAATAATAATAATAAATAAATAATAACAAATAATAAAAAAACAAATAATGAATGAAAGAAAGCATAATAAATTAGAAAATTTAAAAATCAAGTTTTCCAAAAGATACCAAAAACTACCTGAGCTTTTATCTCAGCAAGTTCACTCTCTAAATGATAGCGGCTCTTCAGTGCGCTTAATTTAGCAGATTCGGCATCTTCCAACTGCTCTTGAAGCTGACGAATCAATGTATGATTTGGCCCATTTTCCCTTTCACGAGCCAATACACCCTGTGTATCTCGCAAAAGAGCTCGAACTTTTTTTAGATCTCTTTTATAATGATGACCAGTGGATGAAGTAGAACTAAAAATTTGATAATCAATGTTCCTAATAAGATATTCCTGAATTAGAAATAAGGCTTAAACTTAACTCAATGATCTTTCATCATATACTTCTTAATCCAATAATGTACGCGCTATTAATAAAGTAAATAAATTAATTCTGTGCCATAAACTGCAGTAGAACAAAATGAACAACCTATAGGAATCAGTTTCACGCATTCTCGTCTCAAAGATGCGACACTGATTCATCAAAGATGCATTAGAATCTTGCAAATCAGCCAATTGTTCCTCAAAAGCTCTCTGCTGAAAACAATATTTTAATTTAAAATTTTAGATCTGAGCTGAGTTTTATTTTTTTTTTAAATTTTCACAATAAAACATAATGAAAACATAATTGTTTTTACAGAATATAGCGAAGAAACAATAGAAAATATATACTCTTCTCTGATACTGGGTTCTAAGCTCGTCGATTTCAGCTTCTTTGGCCTCGATGTCGCGAGATCGTTCCGCTCGTGCTCTTTCATTACCCATTTCTAGGCGAGTAATCGTTTGCTCTAATAAACGTGTCTTAGCAGCCATATCGTCTAATTCTTCTTCCTTTAATAAAAACCATTGGCAAAAATTTTGCAGTAAAACAAAATCAAATGATTAAATGCAAAATTTAATAGCTATAAAAAAAAACAAATACCTGCTCAGCGCATTTCATTTCCAATTGTTTTAATTTATGCACATTGACCAATTCTTTCTCCGAATTTTCAACACTACTCTCATTGAATGTATCCATATCTTTTCGTATTTTGGCAAGATTTTGACGCAGTTCACCATTTTCCACTTTGAGATTCTAAATTATTCATTCATCGATTGCATCGTCAAGAGAAATGAGATTACTATTAACAAAAATAAACAAAAAAAATTGTCAACAAATAAAACAGAAGTATCAAATTATAACCAAACCTGTAATTCAAGTGTTTTCATTTCCAGATTTGCATTAATTTTATCACGATCTTTTATGGTTGATGAAAGTTTTTCTTTTTCTTTTTCTAGGAGTTCATTCACACCATTTAACTCAGCATCAAATCTATAAATCTTATAGATTTATAGAACGAAGAATTCTCATGTGTGAAAACTAACTGGTTTTTCTAATAGATTAATGTGTGGATTACTATAGAGAAATTTTACTTGTTGTTCCGTTTTTCGAGAAATTCATTTCGAGCTCGAAGATCCAAGATTTCATTTTCAATGTCGCGTAAATGATCTATTGCCTTCTGTGCTCGAGTTCTATGTAATTCTTCGTTTGCGCGCAACGCAGATAACTCTTTTTGCAATTCAATGACCTGGAAAATTTTCAGTTTAAAAATTTTTTATAGAAAATTACTACAAATTTAGGACATGAGAATGTATAACCTTTGCATCTGAAATGTCAGCAAGTGAATGTGATGATTTAGATGTCGCGATTCGTCCTTCTTCTAAACAAAAAAAAAATTAAATAAATATGACAAGGAATAGAAATAAAGGAGGAAATATGAATAAAGATTATAAGAGGACCTGATTGTCGTTGTTGAGAAAGAATAAGCTGTTTTTCTGCCTGAATACGCGCTTCAGTTTCTCGCTCTAATGCATCACTTAAATTTTTTGCATTTGCGCATTCTACAGATATAATCTGCTCCAATTCCTCTACGCGTCCTTCTAAACGTATTTTAGTACCACGCAATTCATTACTATATTCTTCTAAATTGCGAATGCGTACTTGCCATTCTTGATATTCCTTATCATTCCTTAAAAACAATTTTTAAAAATTTGAAAGGAAAAAGCGATTAGTGCGTAAACTGGAAAATTTGCAAACCAACCTTACCGCACCTAGTAAAGGAGTAGTGCGTGTATACAACTTCCACCATGCCCATTCACGAACTTTCAAATATGATCGGCCATTTCTTTGTATACACCGAATCGCCGTTTCCATAATACGACGTCTGGCCAACCACTTATTAGCAAGATGTTTCCGACACAAATATTGCAGCTTTTCAATGAAACCATTAAGGCAAAGTTCTCTGCGTTCTTCCAATTCATCTAAGGCATCGCTTCGCAAAAGAACCTGAAAAAAAGCGAAAGAAATAAATATCGACAACTAATAAGAAATTCTTAAATTTAGAATTTGCAAAGTAATTCAATTCATGAAATAAAAGTACCTGGCTCAATCCCAATCGATACCTATGAGAAAATATTCCACTACCTTCAAGAATACGTGCAGCAGCCGCTCGATCATCAAGAAAGTCACTTACAGAATTTTCAGTATCGCTTAAACAACGAAAACGTCTTCGAAAATCTTTAAAAGAAGATTTTTCAGGATAACCTGCAAGATTTTTTAAAATAAAGAATGAAAATGAGAAAAGATGAGAAATGAGATTAAAGCAGTTAAATAATTAAACAAATATTTTCGCAGCTTACATATTCATTAAAAAATTTTACAGAGTCGTTAAATAAATAATAAAAGCTAATGAGTAAATGTTTCAAAACCTTGATGCCTTTATTAAAAATAAGAATAACCATGATTGGATGCGCGAGCTGCTTCCACAACAGATAAAGATCGTAACTGAGATCTAACAAATGGGACATCGAAAATTTCCGTTGAACGCGCGCCAGAATCAAGAAGAGGACTTTGTTCGATGCAGTGCACAAAATGAAGGCTATTTGAACGTTGTGCAAATGAAACTAGATAATCCTAAAAAAGTGAAATTTGATTCATAAATTAATTACCTACAGAAATCAGTATAAAAAATATACAATCTGCACAGACAATCTGGACATGAAGCCAGATGCAGTTCTTAATCCAGCCACGTCGACCTTTACAGACTGTGTTGTTTTGCGCATTTTCAAGCTCACGTTCGTTGATTGCAAAATTCCAAAAGGTGAGAATAATGCACGAATAATGTCACTTAAAAAATTAGTAATAAAAAAGATAGCGGATGCTATTTTCAAAATAAATTCAATATGAAAAAATTATGTGAGAAAATTTAATTCAAAGCATCAAACATAAGCATAAATAATAAATTTGAAATTCGAAAAATCACACAAAAATTTGTAGTCTGAACAACTAACTTATTTGATGTGGTAAGTAATGATAAAACTGCAGCATCAATATTCCCTGGATGAGCCGATTTTACCCAGCCATCAACGGAATATACGATAGGACTAGTACCACGACAATGATTTATTACAAAATGCCGAGAATGGGAACCACGCCGAATTAGATCTGGAAGAATTTCAATAAAACTGAAAAACAAAAAATTAAATTTAAAATTAATTAAAAAATTAATGAAATGAAATTAATTGATGAAAGTGTTTCATTTCACTCTTTTATTTATATAATTTATATCTTCTTAATAACAGACAAAAATGAACGTTAAATTTCCAGATACGAAGAGCTCAGAGGAATAAATAAATGAATAAATATACGTGAATCGCCGAGATGGACAAATATGCGTTCAAAGAACGAATCATCCGTTGCACCAGGAAAATACACTTCTTCTTCCAGCAAATATAATAAACCGCGTTTCTCCTCACTTCGCCGTTCGATATCAACTGAGTGCAGCTAAAATAAAAAATAAGAAAATATAATATATACGAAAAATAGAAAACAGGATTGCTTGTTTAACAAATGGATAAAAAAAAATGTATATGAAGAAAACTGCAAACAAGAAACGAAACTAAAAAAAATTCACTCAAACAAATTAGTAAACTCGAATAACAATAAAAATATCATTAACAACTTTCTTTTGATTTGAAAAATTAAATAGTTTGAGCTGTATTTTTCATCTTAATGATTTGCATTTAAAATAAATGTAAGCTTATAAGCGTGAAATTAATCAAACATTTACCAGTTGCTGTTTTTGGTCAATAAGCCGTGTTATGTGATGAGGCCTATAGACCGGTTGCTCTACTACAACATCAACTTGTTCTTGCTCATACATTTCATTCGGCTTAGTAAAACTTGCATCATAAAATAGTTCAGCAATTCTTTCGTTCATATAATTGTAGGCTATATCATTAAGGCCACTGCTTTTGTGCTCTCCCTAAATTTATGATATATAACTTCTAAAACATAAAACAAAAATAAAATAAGAATAGTAGAAAATTTAAAATATTTATAATGAAATAAAGATAAAAAAAACATCTAAAATTTTTCAAGCATTACCTCGACCCATGGACGATTGAAATTGCTACCAGGATAATCAATTATAGTGATGGATGCAGAACTGGTTAAATTATTCGAACCAAGACTTCGATTTAGAAGCATAACGACAGCATCGAAAAGCTCATTATAAAGAGAAGAAATAAAATGATTTAAAGCTTCGATACCACACTGACTCTTGCTCGACATTGATAAACGACTAAAACTTTAAAATTTGTAGAAAATAAATTCATTCAATTGCAATAATAATACTGCAAATGCAAAAAGTATACGAGCTGATGATTATTAATGAAAAAACCTAACCTTAATGAACCCATATTTGCATTTCCCATAGTTGTTTTGCCTTTGAAAATAACTGCAGAAAGGTGGTCAACACTTACACCAAGCAAAGTAGCAGCATATTGCGCATTCGACATACGAATAAACTGTGATCTTTGCGCTTGACCTTGTGTAGCATCAGCATAACGAAGATGTAATATAGCGCCAAGAACTGAGAATATAGCTGATTTTTCATCATTCGATATCCCCAACGTTTGCAATGCTTCCAAGAAATGAGTCCAACCCTACAACATTTTGCACTAATAACTGAATCTCGTTGAAAAAAGCATTAAAATCAATTATTATAACAATAAACAGAGGGTGCAGTACCAAGGTATATGATATTAATCCTATATGGCCTAAAAAAAAATGGTCGAAAATTTTCTGTTGAATATAATTTTTCTGAAGCTGAAATTTTCCTATGATAACAACAAGTTAAACTAAAAACGATATGTAATTTCATAAAATAATAAAAAAAATGGAAAAAAAAGACGCACCAAACGAGCAGCTTTTTTGTCTTCTTCACGTAGGAGAGGTACGTGCACAGGTTTACCAACAGCATCTAGGTGTAAACGATCGATGATACTTGCATCAGCTCCTTCTAATAGATAATAAAAAACGTGAAAATTTGTTTCACCCTCAGGACACTGCGAAATGCGCGAACTTTCTAATAAAAATGTTTGTATACGACCACATCTAAGAATAAATCCTTGAATATTTTAAAAATCATTTTACAGAGGTATCATTTTTAAGATAAATTTTAGTTGGAAAAACAATGGATATCAGGGAAAAATTAGAATTGATGTTAATAAAAAAAATAGGCCAGAGGTTGAGGATAGGCAGATAAGCTTTCAGAGGACCCTCACAGAAAGAGAGGATTGGTTGCAATTCGAACCTTTGTTGTCTCATGTCAATCATCCGTTAAAACCGCTATCAGGCCTGGAAGCTCAAGGGTTTTGTACAGTCTTAGCTGTCCCTACCAACTTCTTCTGGCGCTATATTACATCTTCTAGGCAAAGACCTCTGATATTATTCATATTATTCCTGGAAAAAATTTTCCTAGTTTAGGAGACATAGTCCCTAGTACCCTTAACGTTTATTATTACTATTAGGAATATCTTGTCCTTCATTTTCCACATTTTTGCTAGTTCTTCTTTGTAAATATGTATATATATATATATATATAAATGTATATTTTAAGAGTAGCAACTCAAACAAAGAATCACGATTAATTCAGCATTCGTGAAAAAGTGATAATTTTAATCTATACCATCTGCAACCATGAAAAACAGAATCTTACCTCAAAGAGGCAGATGTATCAAATGAAAGAGTGAACATCTGAGCAAAACGCGAGGCATTTTGATTAAGCCTCGTAGAACAATTGCCAAATGCCTCAAGAATACCGAATGCAGCAGTTATAGTATCATCTAAAAATTCTCAATTTTAAAATCAAATTAAACTTCAAAATTGAATATATTTTGAAAAAACCTACGAGTCAGCATTTTTGTCCAACCGGCAACTTCGCAAATATAATGACATATATTGCGTAACTGCAGAGATTTCCCACTGCCGCTAACTCCGGTGGTTATTACGCATTGACTACGACCCGTCATTTGCACATTCCTAAAAAATGATAGTGATGAAAACCAGTGCTAAAATGTTTAGAACAATTCTTCAAATAATGTTACCTTAATAAATACATATCTTTTATTGAAAACACAGGAACTTAAGAAAAAAAGAAATAAAAAAAACCGATAAATTTGTTGAGCAAAAGCATAAATATGCGGAGGCATTTGCTGTCTTCTGCATCCTTTGAATAACTCAACAAGTTTATCACAAATATAAGGCTGATAATCACCCGTCATACAAATAATTTTTTGTGATCCAGCAAAAGTGTATAAAAGATTACTACCAAATCTATGTCGAAGTACATGAATAATACTCGTTTCGTTGATATATCGTAATCTATAAGAAAAAAAGTTTTCAAATAATAAAAGCCGAAGCAAAAACTTCAGAAATCATCCTTCTGAATGAACAAATAAAAAAAAAATAAATGCATGATGCAACTAACTTAGCCACGTTCTCTATACGGTCGAAATTCGCTTGATTTGCTTTATCCAAATCAGTTACATCAACTACCATCTCAGCACCCGTCACACTGATCCGAACTTTACAATCAGGAAATTTTTCAAGCAATCGGGCCAAGGTGTAACCGTTTTTATGCATCAACCAATATTGTTCTTCTTCTGGACCATCCTAATGGAGAATTTTTTTATATTATTATTAGATAGTAAAGATAGTTTATTAGATAGTTATTAGATATTATTAGATATTATTTTAGATATTAGATATTAGTTATTATTTTAGATATTAGATATTAGTTATTAGATATTATTAGATAGTTTATAGATTTTCTTTAGAGATATCACTATAATCACCATTCTATTAAACAATGAATATTCAAAGGTGTCAGATCTAGAAACATACCTCAGATACATAAGAATAAGCAACTGGTAAAAGCGTAAGTGAATCACCCGCATCGCGCACTCCTCTTTGATGTCGATCAAAAAATTCAGCTAATTCAGGCATCGCTCGAACAGTCAGTTCAATTTGCTCCTTTGAATCCTGGAATTTTCTAGAATCAAATTATAACCATATATAAAATTTTTTTAAACTCTAATAAATAAATAAAAATGACCAAATTCGAAATCAAAACCTGTATAAGAGCAATTAATTCATCACGTCCAAGATTATCAACTATACAACCATTGACCATAATAAGTTGATCACCAGGAAGTAGAGTTGTTCGAATTTCACTCGGACGAGGAGGACCACATCTCAATTTCGTAGGTTCGGCAAAAATGGCGACTTTCATTTTTCCATTGGCTACAGGAATTTGTGTTCGTCTAATATTGAAGCCAAAATCACCTAAAGTCAAATTTATTTTTATATTTTTAACGCTAGTTAGTTTTTATGGAAGTTCCACTGCCATTCATTGCTAAAAAATAGCACTATAAAAACTTCAATTTGAAAAACGTTATTGAAATATAAAAAATAAAAGAATTTAAAACCTGTTACACTACGATGGATCACAAGTGTCCTTTGATTTACTAGAACAGGTGCTAAAGCTGGAAGCTTCAAATTTGGGAGATCCTATAAATTCACGTCATTAAGAAATGGAAAATTAGAAGAAACCATGAACATCCAAAGTAGCTAAAGCTTTAAAATATAAGAATTATATAACCATATTAAACATAAAAATAACATTAAAAGATAAATTAATAGGTTCAACCATTTAATCAAAATTGAAATTTTGAACCTTTAATACAGAAAATGATGGAGAACTTCGACTTAATGACGATTGAAAATTGTCCGAAAAAACTAAAATTTAAAAAATTAATTAATTAAAATTAAAATTAATTAAACAAAAAATTGATAACTACTTGGAAAGACTAAATTTTCAACTAAATTTTTGATTCGTTTTCGATGAAATATTTTTAAAAAGTTCAAAACTTGCCAAATTTTTGATTAAATTATGCCTTATCACATAAAAAAATTAGCACCGTTAATTAATTCTTTTAAACAATGGGACATTAGCAGAATTTAATTTTTCATCTTCACAAAAAAAAATTAAGCAATATGGTAAACCTGATTTATTATCATTGTGTGACGAATTACGAATGTATTTAACTTCAAAATCCGTCTTATTATCCGCAGGAATCGTCATATTTTTTGAATGATTTATTATGGTTGAGGCGAATACATTTGGAATATCTTTTATTTTCTCCTATAATAATTTGTATAAATCTAAGACAACGACATTGAACCTTTTAATATGATTGTTGGAGGCGTTCTATCGCCGGCAAGAGTAAACCTATCATTCAGAAAATCTTGGTGATGGTGGCAAGCCATTTATACTTCTTAGCAAAATTTGCTTGGCCTGATGCGAGCCTAAGAATTTACTCCGCAATCTGATATTAAGGATATTTTTGATTATTTGCATAAAAAATGAGATTTTTAGATATTAATTCCGCTGGATGTAACTATGAATAAAAATTTTTTACCATGAAGCCTTAGCGATAGAAAAATATGTGGCCAGAAATAGTAATTTTTAAATTTTTCATTTGCTGCTGAAAAGCAAGACGCAGATCTTCAACCTCCAAAAAACTAGGCTATCAACTAAGCTATCGAGCTCGGAAATTTTAGACGCTAATGAATCAATGAACTTTACCGAAAATTAAGAAAAATACTGCATAAATACTCCTCTTACTAATATTATTGCGGAATCGAGCTTAAGCGATTATAAAGGAAACCTTTTTCTTGTCCTCTTTGCGACTGTCACCATCTTTCTTGCGATGGAAAATATTCATTTCACGGAAAAAAATTTTTCGATTACTCGTTAATAATTGATTTCGAAAATGCTAATTCAATAACTGTAAATAATTATTGGAAAAAATTTTTAATGATTAGAGCCACAAATTTTTAGCCGAAAATTTCAATAGATATTCACCTAGTATGTTACAGTTAATATTGAAATGAATAAATAAAAAGAGCAAAAAAAAGGAAATAAATAATTAATCACAGGAAGATCACTGACCTCGAAATAATCGAACCAATAAACACTACTGATGACCTAATTCATTGAAAAAAAAGGTAGAAAATTCATGTCAAATATTTTCGTAATATTCATTAATTTATCTCAAACAATAATTGTTTTCAAGACAAACAAATAAAGAACAAACTGAAAGTTTTTTAGATTTTAGAGATGAATGGCAAAAAATTAAAGGAAAGAAATGGATTGGAAGAAGAATGGGGAGAACACGGAAAAATAGACGGAATATTCTCTTTTATAATTTATCAGAATATTCTCTTATATAAAATCAGTATTTTGTTCTAATGATAAAGTGAGATAGCCGAGAAGTATACTGCTTCGAATAAGGCCAAATATCACAGATTCGGTTCCTACGTCACGATAAACCAATTATTAAAGGTGAAATTCGCAATAGAGCTAGGAAATCACCATAATTACTCTCTAAAAAGACTTAACGTTAAAAAGCTTATTCCAAAAAGGCAGAGAAATGAAGTGGTATAATTAGAAGAAGGAGTATGAGAATTAAATAAAAAACAAAAGGAGAGAAGGAAAAAAAAGAAGGAATGGAAAGTCAAGGACAAATGGAAAGGTGAAGGTCGATAAGAAAAAAAAAAATGAAAATGCTCAGCGGACTGAAGGGAATTTTAGGAAATGCACGCAACGGAAATGGCTTGGTCTGGAAAGTAAATAACACAAAATTTTACGATGAACCAGGGGTCATTCCATCGTTCACCATCAAATGATAGCGCAGAAGCCAAAGGTTGCGAACAGACCAATAAAACTATAATTGTGGGAGAATTAATGCAGTTTCTCCTTTTATTACCTTCATAAACCTTTCATATTCTTCTGTTTTGGAAGGTTACGAATTCATAAAAGTACAAAATATATTAAGGTGAGGAAATGGTGGAAATACTCTCAGACGGTAATTCGGGGGGTGATAGGAATAGAGCTATGCAAGGACCGTGAGTTACCAGAACAATGGCAGAGCAATGGCAGAACAAATGTATAGCCTCTCATAAATATAGAGGGGAAATTGTAGCCAGAAAGGCACTGCAGTCAGTGGAAACCCTCCTTCATCCTCCCACTTGATTTAATTTTCAAAATTAAAAGTGAAAGGAAAATCAAGACTGAAGTGCAAAAGCCAAAGCACCACCACCCACACCCCCCCCCCCCCCCCCCCCCCCCCCCCCCCCCCCCCCCAACCTCTCTCTTAACAAAATTTTAATAAAATTGCTAATCACTACCACGGGCAAATGCACAATTCATAAAAACAGCCGCAGCCGATAATTGCCACCGAAAGCAGAACTATAGCGATACTGATTGCTATACTAAAATTCGGCTTGAGGGAAGATGGATTTTTCCAGTTCCATTAGTGCATAATTTTATAGGTGATTTCTGCGTCAAAGGTCAAAAGGTCAAATTTTATGTATTTGATCGCATATTAATATAAATAGACGATTTGGTATTCGTCGATTGTGGGACCGACGAAAGGACAAATGGATTTATTTACGCTTGAACTGGACGCCATTTGTGATTATCGAATAATCTGGTTTAATTCGTTAATTGCCGATTATTTTACTGTTGCTTTTCGTTATTTTGATATGAATTCTTTTATTTGGAAGTACTATGGAACCAAAAAGGGCTCATTTGAATTCTGAATATTAGTACGGTTAAATAACTGAAAAACGAGCTTCTTAGAATCGCTTCTTTGTCCAGTAGTGAAGACAGTGCAAGAGGCTATTTGCCATTTGATAAGGTCTATTGACACTCTGAGAAGTGTGAATGAACAGTTTTTGTTGGAGGTGAAGCAAGAAACGAAAAATCAAAAATTCCAACACATGTGGGTCGACATCGAGGAATTTTCTGAAGCAAAGAAGCAAATTTAACATTAGTAAGTACCATTGAAATTATTTATTCCGACAGAAAAATTGTTGTTAATATCGCAGTCGGTATTGATGAAATTAATGGATCCTGCATTAAAAGCATCTATTATCACTGATTATTGATTATAAAGCATCCATTATCCAAATCATCGTTATTGAAAATTCACAAAAAGAATACACATTTTTCTACATTACGACCCATTTCTCGTGGTCTGATTGAAAAAGAACTTTAAATGGAGGAACGATTATGAAGAGGGTGTTATTCTAGAAGTATATGGTTCTCGATCTCACGATTATCAAGCTGCTTTATCCACAGCAGACCTTAAAGCTCCATAAAGCTGATAAAACTATTCAAATAAAGCTGATAAAACTATTCAAATATTCTTCAACTCGAGAATTTCGGAATGGTCGAGGAAAATTTTTCAATAACGATAAGTGCTTATCAATTTATTTTATTAATTCTGGGATTATTGGATGCATTCTTGCAGAAATTCAGTTTCTAGCTGCCAATACCACTAACATTTTTGTTACTGTGGGACTTGAAAATATCGATCGATGGCGATACGTTTTCTGGCTTTTATTTGGTCAGGAAAAATAGCTGTATTGCTAATAGTAATAAGGTGGGGTAAGGTAGTGTGCTTCTTAATTTTATTCTTAATTTTATCCAGTACAAATGCGGAATGCAAATCGATAAATACTTATCTTTTCGTTGCATTTGTTCATAATAATTATCACAATAATTATTGTTAATTATAAAATGATTTTCCTTATTAGCTCATGCTGTTCCCTGAACACAATAGTAGGCTTACATTAGTTATCGCTTTATTCATTTTCATTTTTCACAATAGTATAGTATATTGTACAGCAGAAACAGTACAATAAATAGCAAATTTGAGGAATACTCTCTGTCTTTTGTCGATTCGAAAAAGCACTTTGATACTCCTACCAACGACAATATTATCGTGGACATTGTAGTAGTATTGTTCATGATATATTGAGTAATAACCATACTATTAAATAGGTGTTATTAAATCGGACATTTTCTAATATTTTTATATTCTAATGTTTTTTATGTCGAAAATCTCCGCGCTCATATTTACACACATTGCTAAAATAATTGGGAGTTTGAATTTTCATTCATCAACACCTTAGGTTTGAAGTTCATAATGTTTAAATTAATAATGAATTAGTACTCTGCGAAATCTTGTACGACAGTTCATTTCTCTATCTAAAACAGGGAGTAAGGGATTTTTCAGATTCCAAAAAAAAAATCGAAAATTGTTTAACCGGTATGAATCTTTGCTCTCCACTAATGAAATTTCTGCATATAAAATACACCTAAAAAAACTTTCGCGGCGTAGTCCATAAGTATTTGCTTGATAGCGAAAATTGAATTTTATTTAGCTATCAATTTTTAGTCAGAAACTACAACAAACTACAATACTAAACTAAAATATACAATTTATTGTATATTTTATAATAAATAAAATGCAGTATTGTAGTTTGTTGTAGTTTCTGACGATTTCTTGTATTAATGCATTTAATGTTCATCAGATGTATTCTTGAGTAATTTGATAATTATATATCTTACTAGATATTTATCTTAAACCTTCTTTATGTATTGGCCTCGATATCGTAAATGTATTATATAAGAAATCTCTCCATCTGTGCCTCTGTAGATTTTAAGTCGTAATCATTGTCCTAAAATTTGGAAATTATCTTGCCACCTAAATTTTTAAGGATGATCGATCAAATCTTAATTCTTATAATAGGCTTTCACTTGTTTGGTTCATTCCATTGGTGACGGATGTAAGACGTTTACCACAAGCCTACAGATTTAGTGCCATTATTGAAAGGAAACCACTTACATCGTCTAAGCTTTATATCGTTGGGATGTTTATGTCTTTACAATCGTCCTAACTCTATCAATAAAATTTTCATTGGTCCTCCTGGCTTTTGATGTCATTTTTCAGAAAGAAGCGGCGAGGCATTCATCAATTCTTGTGGTAAACGACGAAGAAAATAGCGAAATCAGCGCGGTGAGGCTTTATGATAATAGAGATGATATTTGAGCTAAATTGGATGCGATGATATGAGATTCTGTCCTCTTGGCAAGAATGAAATATATACCTTAGGCAAATACATACCTTAGGCATGATTGGTTAAAGGCAAACAGAATTCTAACTCTTCCATTAGTCAGGTTTTGTAGCCGTATAGCAGGATTGCTCGGCAACTAGGCTGCGCATTTTCCTT